AGCGGGTGGACCTCCACGAGATGGCACCTGAACCAAGGCTAAAGTAGTAGCCCTGAGAGGACCTGAGTGTCTCAGCGTCGTCTGCCCACGAAGCGTCTGTGTGCCAAGTAAGGACCACTGGCCTGCGTCCTCCTAGCACGAGTCCCATGCCCAATGTTCTTGCTAGATAATGCAGAATCCTCTTAGTTGCCGACCAGTGCTGTGGTCGGTGTCTGCCTGTGGCCACAAAGCGGGCCAGGATGCTGAGAGGGTATGCGGGATCTGGACGAGTGCAAGTCATCAGGTACATGAGGCAATCCACCAGCTCTGTATAAGGACCACTGGGCTCTACTGACTTCTCTGGAACTGGAGCAGAGAGCCTGTGGTCTATTGGCATAGGTGTGGGCTTTGTAGAGGAGAACTGAATAACAAACCTCTGAAGGACCTGGCACACCAAGTGTGACTGCATGAGAGTGATGGTGCACACTGCTCTATCCCTGGAGATCTGCAGGCCAAGGTAGTGGCGCAGCTCGCCTAGGTCAGTGCAGGTGTGTCACCTCTGCAGCTCGGCCTTCACGGAGGCCATTGCTTCTCTGTCTGCAGTAGCAAAGACCAGGTCGTCTACGTAGACAAGGATGTAGAACGGGGTCTGACCAGCATGAACGAAGAGCGAGGGGTCTGCAGATGACGGGAAGAACTGCAGGTCAGCTGGCGTAGCACGCAGCGTGTCATGCCACTCGCGAGGCGCCTGTCGCAGGCCATAGACCGGACGCCGGAGGAGCCACTGGGTCCTAGGAGGGAAGGTACCGGTGAAGCTTTGTGGCAAAGCAGGTAGACCTTCTCATGAAGGCTACCCTGAAGAAAAGCTATAGAGAAGTCGAGGGTGTGGAGCTCGTAGTCACGCTGAGCTGTTACGTGTAGCAGCGCCCGAAGAGTAGTCATACAGTGAAGGAAACAATTGTCTGGATGTTTTGGATTAAGTAGGGTTTTTGGGCTTTTCGACCACTGTACATAAATTCTGAATGTTTAATGGTGGTATGCTTTGGAAGGGGTATATAGTGGATGTGTTCGCAGTGCTAAAATCCACTGTAGTACACGAGATCTAACTTAGTGCCAAAATTTATACAAAGAGTACATCCGGACAATTATTTCCCAAGACAAAGAGCAAACTTCGGAGCAGCGTTTCTAGTACCTACTCCACCAACACTTGGCTTTGATCACAACCTGCACCCTCTTACGCATGTTATCTACGAGGCTAGTGCAAACCTTTGCAAGGATCTTCTCGCACTCTTCTTGGACCCATGCTTTTGCATAAGGGGGTGAGCACTAGGAAAATTGCGAGGAAGACGATCCATGATAAGACGGACCAATCGACTTATGGCATCTTTGGCCACACCTCAGCGTGGCTAGTCTTAGAGATAAAATTCAAATCTGAAATCGTGCACAATACTCTTGCATACGCTCAAATCCTTTGCAATTTTCCTAGTGCTCACTCGCTTATGCAAAAGCGTGGGTCTAGGAAGCGTGCGAGAAGATCGTTGCAAAGGTTTGCACTAGCCTCGTAGATAACATGCCTAGGAGGGTGCGGGTGGTGATCAAGGCCAAGTGTCGGTGGACTAGGTACTAGAAACGTTGCTCGGAAGTTTGCTATTTGTCCTAGGAAACAATTGTCCGGATGTACTCTTCGCATATCTTTTGGCACTAAGTTAGATACAGTGTACTATCATGGATTTTAGTGCTGTGAACACATCCACCATGTGCCCCCCCCAAAGCGTACCACCATTAAACATTAAGACTTTATGTACAGTGGTCGAAAAGCCAAAAAACCCTAATTAATGCAAAACATCCGGACAATTGTTTCTGTCACTGTATTTGGGGTCCGGGCGAAGGTCTGAAAGAAGTCCACACCCTCACGCTGATTAAAGCCTCTAGCCACGTAGCTCGCCTTGAACACAGGCGGCTCTCCAGGGGAGCGCTTCACCTTGAAGAGCCACTGGCCATCGACTACGTTCACCCCAGGTGGGGGAACTGTGTCGACGTAGATGCCGGTGGATCTCCAAGATGCCATCTCATGCTCCATGGCAGCTATCCACTGAGAGGCCCAGGGTCCCGAGGTCGCCTCGGCGTAAGTGCGAGAGGTCGAGATATCAAAGGCGTCTAGGTCACCCTCAGGGACTAGCAGCATGGAACAGAGATGGGGAGCGGCCTCAGACAGGAAAGCGAGCTCGTACCGCCGGTCCTCTGGGACGTCACTGCTAAGGGCAGGAGCATCTCCGACGGATGGAGGACAGACAGTGTCAGAGACGAGAGCGGTGGTGTAATCAAGGCGGTGTCATAGTCAAGGCGGCTGCACCATGGCTACCTCCGAAACACTCCACTCCAGCACCCCAAGAGCAAGAACCCTCTCCAGCACCAATGCCGCCCCCAGGTTCGCCGGGACAAGCCACGACAAGAACCCCAGGACTAGCACCCTCCTCAACGCCAACACCCCTAGAGTCCACGGACGGCTGCTGCTGCGGAGGCTGTGAGGACGGCGGCGGCGACTGCGGTGGCTGCTGCGAAGGCAGAGGAGGAGACACTGGGGGAGAGGCATGCAGCAACAATGAAATCGCAGGGCCACTAGAGTCAGCCGACTCCTCGACCGGGACAACTGGCGGGAGGGGAGTGACGTGAGACACACTAGACAGAGCAGGACGGGGAGGGAGGGAGCAGGGGCTACCGGGGGAGTGGGAACCAGAAAAAGAGGAGGGGAAACCGAGAGACCTCGGTGGGGAAAGCGGTGGTAAAAGGAGATACACTAGTCGAAAGTGACGTCACGGGAGTTAAAGAAGCGATTAGACGGCGGGTGGTAGAAGTGCCAGTCAGACGAGTCAAGGGGGGAACCAAGGAAGACGCAGTGGACAGTGTGGGCAGTGAGCTTGTCCATGGCAGAGGCACGAATGTAAGCGAGGCAGCTGGTGAGCTGCGTAGCGTATGGCGAATTGCCACTAAAAATGGGGTGCACCGGCTTGGATCATGGAGGTACGAGCCACCTCCATGACCAAACCGATGTGTTGCTCAGCGACCCCATTCTGCTGCGGGGAGTCCAGTAGGGTGTACGGGTGGGTGATGCCCTCCACACGACAGAACTGTCCAAGCCAACCACAGGCAAACTCGCCGCCACGGTCGGAGTGGAGACACAGCACAGGGAGACCGCGGTGGAGGCGCGCGGCTATAACCCACGGCATAAGAACGTCACGTACGTCGGCCTTCCGCTCCAGAGGAAACACAGTGGTGTAGCGCGTATAGTCATCGACGAGCACAAGAAACTAGCGCTCGCGACGCGGCCTAGGGAAGAGGGCTGGGCCCCAGACGTCCAGGTGCAGGGTCAGGAGTGGCACGGTGGCAGGGCGAAGCGAGGAGGGGTGAGGAGCACGGCGCAGCCGGCCCTCGACACAGGGCGTGCACGGCAGCGCACGCGAGTGAGGGAGGGCAGGGAGCGACGCGAGGAGACCTAGGACGAGACCATGCTGGAACATATGACGTAGACGCGGGAGTGCGGGGTGACCTAGGCGGTGGTGCCACAGAAGCGATGGGTGAGTGAGCAACCGATACGAGCAAGCCGCAGTGACCTGGGTAGATGTAGGACCCAGGGAGGATGCGCCCACCGGGGGGGGAGCAGTGTCCAGCGTAAACAGGCTAGACACCGGGTCCCGGAGGGACGTCGCATGGGGGGCACCTGAGGTGGCCTCGGTACAGACAGTGTACCGTTCGTGACCAGGGAACGTAGTGGTGGCGCCGAGGTCCTGAAGACAGCCGTCACCAACTAGGTTCCTGGAAAATGAAGGGATGTCCAGGCCTGTAAGAGAACCCGAGGGAACCGCTGGATAGGGAAGGGTTGTGTAGCTACGAGCAATGATAGGACCAGAGGAGGGGTCAGCAAGGGCGACAGCGGCAGGCGTTGCAAGCAGTGTGAGTATGGCATGGTCATGGAAGAAGCAGGCAGACGCACCAGAGTCAAGCGTAAAGGACACCGAAGCAGAAGCTACAGCCGGAGGACGAGCGAGCGTGGAGCCTAGTCTAGACAAGGCAGAAGGTCTTACGCCTGACACAGCAGGGGAGTCTGTACTACAAACAGGTACTACACTTAAACTAGATAACACATGGTAATAAGATCCAGGCACACTAGAAGCATCAGCATACAAAGAATGTAGGGCAGAACTAATCTGATCCATGACTAAGTCAAACACAGGCACACCGTGGCGCAGCAGATTGGGCCAGTCAGGAGGTCCGGGGCTGGGCCGAAGTGGCAACGGAAGAGTTTGTCGAGGCGGCAGAAGCAGAGGGCGGTCGGGTGCGGGCGACGGCACATAGTGCCGTGGAGGGGGCCGGTCCAGAGATGATACTCGCAGCTCACCGCACCGAAGCTGCCGGCCGACGCCGAGTTGCGAGGGCTGCCACCGCGTCCACCACCTCCAGGGGCTCCTGGCCACCCCGGCGGGAGGCGGGCCCACGACTACTGCTGCTGCGGCTGTGGCTGCAAGGGCCAGCGAGGCGTGCAAGGGGGCGGGCATATGTATAAGATGACAGGCTGCGAGTGGCCTGCTGGCTGCTGCCTTATGACTTCGTTGTAACCCTGATTCCTGTTGACGGATTTCATGGCACTTCATTGGTTTACTGATTCAGTAGAGTAAGAATTTGACAATCCTGGACAATCATGGCACCCCCCCCAAAACAAGTCTGAATATATGAATTCAGTGTAAAAAAGTTTGATGTCTGATGCTCATTGCGGAATACTACTACAATAGTCATCCTACCCACCTAAAGAAATGAGCCTAAGTGTTGGTATTGCGATGGCACATTAACTGTTTAGTTGGAGCTCTGCCACACTACTGGCGCGTCTTGTCGCGCGTCTTAGCGCCGCCTCCTTCCTCCATGGACTGGTCAACCCTATTTCGCCTCATCCAGCTCAGCCTCTTCTTTCCCGCCATAAATTTCAGGGGGAGTTTTTATCTCACCCCCCCAACCCCAGTTTAGGCTGTCATAGCGCTCAGGTGTTCCCGCAATCCGTCGAGGTTGCAACTGATGAAGTAGAAGCCTCCGCATCTGTCGGTGGCTTCCGTGCTGCATCTTCATTCGCGACACGAAATGTCACGAAATTGATCACTGATGAGGCGACCCGATGCCAAGTCCATGTTGGTGCAGATTTACGCCTCTGCCACCCAATGAGAAGGCTGCTCACGGATTTCCGTATAAAACAGAGGCCGGTAATGGACTCTCTCATCGTCAACCGTTTCGTCTGGCGACTGAAAGTTACTACTCTACTCGTCTACCGGTTTCCTTCTCTCGCAAGAAGGCTCACTCATAATTTCGACTTCGGATAGAATCTGCTTTTGAGGCGTCTGCTCCAGACTCAGACACCAGACTCAGTTTCTCGCTCCGCGCCGCTCTGGGCTTCAGGCTTTCGGGTTTAAGGACTTCAGCAAAGCACCATGGCCGCTTCGATGAATCGTCTCCTGCTTCTCGCGCTGCTCGCGCTCCTCGCCACGGCCAGTGAGTTAGTTCCTCCAAGATTCTGCCAACCCATGCACCGCTCTGCGATTTCTCGTGTTTCGGCTTCCGCGTTGCTATGGAGTGCGAATCCTCGCACGCTTGGAGTCTCAGTCGCCTCGGAGCCTCAACTCAGCATCCTGCAAACCCACGCACCGCTTTGCGATGTTTCCGTTTCTCGGATGCGACAGTAGCCTGATTTTGCCTGATGTCTTCCCTTCACAATCTTCCCACCTCTTTCCCTTCCAGTCCTGGCGGAAGCTGCCAGCAAGGCCCGTTCCCAGCCGCCGGGAGGAGACGCCAAGGCCAAGGCGGCTACCAACAAGCGGGCGGGCAACTCCACTGCGGTCGGATCGGCGGCATCTGGAAGGAAAACAGCCGCTCGCTCGCAGCAGTCGGCCGCTCAGACGGCTGCCAGCAAGCGGCAGGGGCAGCAACAGACGGCGAGCGTCAAGAAGCAACGATCCGCTGAAGGCCAGGAGGCAGCGGGCGGAGCGAGTCATGTGGCGGGAGGGAGGAGGCACGTGAATGGGAGCGCGGCGGGCGGGCGGTGGAACGGCACTGCGCCTCCCCACAGCGCGAATGGCACTCGCAGGGGCGCCGTGAACGGCACTGACGGCCGGAGCAGGCCGAATAGAGCTGGCCCTGCTCGCGCTGGTGCCGCTGGTGGCGATGGTGGTGCTGCTGGCGGCCGGGGCGGTCGTGGGCGCGAAGGCAACGTCATTGGTAAGAAGCATGATTGGTCAGAAGCAGCAGCTGTTCTAGGCTGAGCGTCTAGTAGCATGCTGCAGCAATGGGATGGTAGCATTCTGAAGTTAATGCAATATTCAGAACTGTTCTGCTTGAGCTTCGTCTCTTACGCTGAGCGGATCTGATTTCACGTTTCCTGGCTCTTGATGGTTGGCTGTCTTGGCGCTCGTTGACGCCTGTACGTGGCAGGTGTGGTGGGCGCGCGGATGAGCGGGGCCCAGATGGTGGGGTCAGCAGGCATGGTGAACGGCAGTGGAGAAGTGGAACTGAGGATTGTCAAGTGAGTGTGGCCTTGCTGTTCTCTCTCCCTCTCTCGTTTTGCATCTCCACCTTGTTCTCTCTCTCTCTCTCTCTCTCTCTCTCTCTCTCTCTCTCTCTCTCTCTCTCTCTCTCTCTCTCTCTCTCTCTCTCTCTCTCTCTCTCTCTCTCCCTCCCTCTCGTTTTCCATCCCCACTCTGCCATCTGACACCTCACTTGCCACCCTTCCCTCGCCTCAAACCCTTCTCCACATCACTCCTCCTTTGCCCCCCTCCCCCTCCCCCCCCCCCAGGACCGCCACTGACATGGACGTGCACTACTCTCTCTCCCTCGCGCACCTCTCCTCCCCCTCCCCTCCCACCTCCGCCTCCATCCTCTCCGGCTCCGCCTCCTCCGCCTCTGCCGCGCTGCTTCTCTCCTTCCCCGCCTCCGCGTGGACCAACACCACCCGCCCCTTCCATTGCCCCAGAAACACCACCGACATTGCTGCTACTGCTCCCCGCGCCGCTGCTGGCTTCAGCTATGGCGCCAGGGGCGTTTGGGCAAACGCCTCGTCCCTCTCTGCTGCTGCAGGCGGCTCTGTGGCGGCTGCTTTGAGGAGCATTCTCGCCGCCCCGGCCTCCTTCCATGCTCTCATCGCCACCACTGCGTTCCCCAGCGGGGCGGTCAGGGGGCAGATGGCAAACATGACGCGCGGGGGGAAGTAAGGGAGGGAAGGGAAGTAGAGAGGGGGGCCTCTGTGGCTGCTGCTGTGTGGAACATTCTCGCGCCCCCTGCCTCAATCCACACTGTCATCGCCACCAGTGGGGTCTCCAATGGGGCTGTAAGGGGGCAGATGGCGAACATGATGCATGCAGGGGGGAAGTACTAAGGGAGGTCAGAGCAGGGGAGTTAGCTTAACCCATAGTGGGTCAAGCAGTAAGGCTAGGCTAAGCAAGTACTGCAAGAAATGCATACTAGGGTGCATGGATGCTTGCTTGGGTGGTGCCCATTGTCCATAGCAGTAGCAGTAGTAGTGGTATGACACCTCATAGCAGTGCTTGTGCCACTGTGCGCTGAAGCAACATGGAGCCTTGTATACAATGCGCTACGATGCTAGCAGCATTGTCGTGAAGTGGGAAATACTTTTGGTGTGACCTCGAGTGATTCTAGGATACCCAAGGTAACACGGTCATACCAGTCATCCCTTGCGAGGTTAGGCATGTGGTACAGTCCCTTGCTGTGCCAAGCACCATCCGCTTGAACAGCCAAGCACGATCCGCTTGAACAGCCAAGCACCATCCGCTTGAACAGCCAAGCACCATCCGCTTGAACAGCCAAGCACCATCCGCTTGAACAGCCAAGCACGATCCGCTTGAACAGCCAAGCACCATCCGCTTGAACAGCCAAGCACCATCCGCTTGAACAGCCAAGCACGATCCGCTTGAACAGCCAAGCACCATCCGCTTGAACAGCCAAGCACCATCCGCTTGAACAGCCAAGCACCATCCGCTTGAACAGCCAAGCACCATCCGCTTGAACAGCCAAGCACCATCCGCTTGAACAGCCAAGCACCATCCGCTTGAACAGCCAAGCACCATCCGCTTGAACAGCCAAGCACCATCCGCTTGAACAGCCAAGCACCATCCGCTTGAACAGCCAAGCACCATCCGCTTGAACAGCCAAGCACCATCCGCTTGAACAGCCAAGCACCATCTGCTTGAACAGCCAAGAACCATCTGCTTGAACAGCCAATCACCATCCGCTTGAACAGCCAATCACCATCTGCTTGAACAGCCAAACACCACCCCAACACAGAGCAAGGCAGCAACGACAATGTCCTGTTTGATGGCAGCAGAGCAGAGCAGAGACAGCATCCAACTTCTCCATCTGCCCTGCATTCCCCAGCTGCTGTCCCAAGTCGCAGTTTCAACCACACATGAGATGAGCGCCTCATGAGACATATAGCGAAGCAGCAAAGACAATGTCCCTCTTGATGGCGGCGGACCCCGCCTCCATGGTGGCCATCAGCTCCGCGTTGCCCAGCAGCCGGGCCGCGTTGCGGAACTCGCGGCACGTCTCGTCCAGCCGCAGGATGGTGCGCACGATGGTGCCCTCCGCCACGTTGGTCAACGGACAGATGTCGGCGAAGGGCGTGCCCTGGGAGCAAGGGGAGAGGAATGAGGAAGAGTACCTCAACCAGTGCAGGATGGTGCACACGATGGTGCCCTCCGACACGTTGGTTAAGGGGCAGATGTCAGCTAAGGGCGTGCCCTGGAAAGGTAGAAAGGGGGTGAGTGAGAGTACTGAAAGACGTTGAAGCCTTATTGGTGTGCATGATGGTGCCCTCTTCTACATTGGTCAAGAGACAGTTGTCAGCTAAGGGCGTGCCCTGCCAAGGGAGAGGGGTGGAAGCGAGTAGGTGGAAAGCCCAACAGTCCATGCTGGTTTGACTGTTATCAGACGGTGCACACGGCGGTACCCTCCCTCGCCTTGCCCACCGGGCAGATGTCAGCGAATGGCATGCCCTTGGGAAAGCAGGCAAATAGAGGAGTGAGGAGTGAGGAGTGAGGAGTGAGGAGTGAGGAGTGAGGAGTGAGGAGTGAGGAGTGAGGAGGGGAAAAAAAAAACCCCTAAGCCCAGGATGGTGCACACGGACTGTGCCCTCCGCCACGTTGGTGCAAGGACAGATGTCAACAAACAGCATGCCTTGTGACAGGTGAGGGCGGAGTGGGATGAGGTTGAGCAACAAGCAACTCAGCAGTCACGATGGTAGCATGATGATAGCACCATGGTGCCCTCTGCCACATTGTTCAGCGGGCATATGTCAGCAAAGGGCGTGCCCTGGGGGGCCTAGAGCCGGGCAGGAAGGAGAGTATCTACGCATTTCCACACACTGGTTATGGCGCCCGCTGCATTAGTCAGTGGGCGAATGTATGCAAAGCAGTCCGACGTAAGGACAAGCAGAGTCGCCAGAGAGGCAGTGGCCTTGGGAACAGAGGGAGACAATGGTAAAAATGGCGGAGGCACGTACCAGCGCCCACTCATAGACGACCTCCATGAGCCCGAAGTTGAGCGTGGCTGCTGCATACTCCTCCGCTGACGTGGGCAGCCCCACCCGCCTCTGCAGGTCGCCCAGGAAATACGCCAGGTCCAGCAGCCTGGGGTAGAACCAAACGGAGGAGGACAGGCAGGAGGAAACGTTTCATGAGAAGCTTTGAGACCGGCCGGTCCTCCAAGCCAGTTTAGCAGAGAGCGGGACAAAGGGGTGTCCCTGCCATGGCCCAACCCAGAACAAAACCCCCCTCCCCTCCTTCACCCCCCATCTCCCCCGCCCTCCCTCCCCCTCTTTTCCTCACTTGTTCGTAGAGGTAGCCAGCTCCGCAGGGAGCTGGGGAGCGGGCGTGTTGGAAGACAAATGGCAAGAGCAGAACACACATGCACCCCAACCCTAAACCCTAAACCCTAAATCCAAGCCCATCCAACCCTTCCCCGCACTTGTTCCTGGCGTGCGCCAGCTCAGGAGTCAGCTGGGGCGGAGACGCGTCCTTCTGCTGGAAGACAAACGCCGAGAGCAGCGCCACGGCTTCGGGCGGCGAGAGCGCAGCAAGGTGGTGGTGGAGGAGGCACTCCGTGGCCAGCAGCTCGTCGGCGCTGTTCATCTCACACGCCACGCGCCCCTTGAGCTGCACAATACGGTCGGAGTCAATGAAGGCGAGGGTTTGCAGCACCTCCACCTGGTGGAAGGTCGGGTTGTGAGGGTTGTGAGGGGGGTACAAACAAGGGCTTGGGTGGTGGCGTAGGTGGAGAGGTGGTGGTGGAGGAGACAGTCGGTGGTGTTCATGTCACACGCCACATGGCCCTTGAGCTGCAGGACGCGATCGGAATCGATGAACGCCCGGGTCTGCAGCACCTCCACCTGAGCGATATGGGTAGAAGGGACAAGACGAGATGGTGGTGCAGCAGGAGGCAGTCAGTGACGAGCAGCCTGCCACCGCTGCTCATGTCACACGCCACGCTCCACCTCATGGGAATGAGTGGCACAGGGGTGAGGGGAGTGGAGAGCACTCGGGGCACTGGACACTCGGTGGCTGGCAGCTGGAGGGGAGAGTGATCATAACACCCAGGAGACAGCCCGAGGGGAGAGTGATTATAACACCCAGGAGACAGCCCGAGGGGAGAGTGATCATAACACCCAGGAGACAGCCCGAGGGGAGAGTGATCATAACACCCAGTAGACGGCCCGAGGGAGAGTGATCATAACACTCAGCAACAACCCGTTCGAGACATCCCTTCCAGCCCGTTCTTCCACCTCATCAGTAAACTCTCTTGAAATAAAACTCAGCAGACCAGCTGCATTTTCTCTCCACCCCATCGTCTCGCCCGGCGGGCTCACTCGCAGGTGGACTCACTCTGAGATGGAAGTCTGGCAGCTGCTGCAGTGCCTGATCGCTCGTCATCGCCTTGAGCTGCTCCACCTGCAGGCAGCAGGGGAGGAAATACAAAGGACCGCTTGAGGGAGACCGGGGGTCGTTTCCTAGGGATGGGGGGAGTGGGGGCGAGGGAGAGAGGGGAGAGGGGCGAGAAGGAGGAGAGATAGTGCAAGAAACTGCTTTGTGTGTTTGAAAGACGGAGACAAGGTGATTGCCAAGGGGAGAGGAGGAGGAGACAAGGCAATTGCCCTCTGCGCTGCTCGTCTCCGTCATTCACTCCCACTTGCTTCAGCTGCGCTGACAACTCCCCCCCTCCCCCCCCTCTCCCCTCTCTCTCCCCTCCTCCCCCACGCACCTCTTCTCTCATCCAACACACAAGCAAACAGATTGGAATTGATTCAGCAGCATCTAGGCTGGTATGTCGACCTTCATGCACGCAGCACCTGCGGAGGACTGCACACCTCAACCCACTTTCCTGCTCAAGCAGCAAGCAAGCACATGTACACTCTACATGCTGTGGTTGCTGGCACCAACCTGCTGTGACAGATGGCGGCGGGAGGCGACAGCAGCGTAGTGCTTGTCCAATCGGTGGCACGCGTGGCACGGGCTGCGAGGCAGCAACTCCCGCAGAGCCAGCTGGCGCTTGTGCATGGTGGCGGTTGCTGAGTCAGCGATCTTGAGGTCTGACGTGGATGGACGACAGGGAGGAAGGAGAGGGGTCTGATATATACGAGAGAGGGGAAGGGACCAAGCAGCAGAAACAATAGCAGATGAAGCGTGATCTGCAGTTATCAACAACTGCTTTATCTGTACGATTCAGTGCAATGGTGGTAACAATGTGTAACCCTAAGTTTCCAGTCGGGCTTTGCACCTTTGATTGGGTCAATGAGGGGAGGGTCGGCAGGAGCACACTCCTCCCGAACCTGAACCAGCGCCTGCACCGCTGCAGCATACGCCGGCACCCGAACCTCCTCCAGCAGGCTCGGCACATCCAGAGCCACCTTGGCTCGGCACACCCCCACCAGCTGGGCGGCAGGAATCTGCTCCACCATGTAACACGTGCCCGCTACAGTGCCTTGATGCGGTAACCGCATGTTGACCACTATAGGGCCGTTGGGCCCCGTCCCCAGCACTGTCACGTGGTTGAATGAGCGACCCATGCGGCTGCCGTCCTCCTCCCTCCTCTCCGCTCCATGCCCCATTCCATCCTCTCCTCCCTCTCCACTCCCTCCCACTGCATCCGCTGCGCTGTGCTGCGCCTTGGGCAGCGAGAGCACAAGGAAGGAGTGCTTGGCTGGCGTGGGGCCGAAGGGGCCCTTGAGCAGAGCAGCCACGTGGGGGGAGGCAGTCTGGGTGGCGGTGGAGGGGGGAAAGGGGTAGGGGAATACGGGGAGAGTATTGAAACAACTAGAGAAGTGGGTCTTCGGACTTGTTCTGATGCGCCTCAAAGCTACACTTGGCAGGAGTTGAGCGAAAGAGGGCTTTGAGAAAAAGGAGGAAAGCGGGCAGAGGCAGATCAAGGGGGTGGTGTGAGAGGACTGGAAGAGAGAGTTCAGTTCAGGGGGGTGGGGTGAGGTGCGGACGATTGGCAGAGGCGAGGCAAAGAGGGCTTGGGGGCGCAGGGTGAGGATGATTCGTGAAGAGGCGGAGAGGGTTCAGGTGTGCAGGGGGGGCATGACCGGGTGCGGAGAATGGTTGGTGGGGAAAGAGCGGAATACAGGAATGGGAGCAGCAGGGACGAGAAGAGGATGCAGGAGAAGCGGATGAGGGCTTGGGGACAGGCAAAGCAGCATGGCAGGCAAAGCAGCATGGCAGGCAAAGCAGCATGGCAGGCAAAGCAGCATGGCAGGCAAAGAAGCATGGCAGGCAACGCAGCATGGCAGGCAAAACAGCAGGACAGGCAAAGCAGCATGGCAGGCAAAGCAGCATGGCAGGCAAAGCAGCATGGCAGGCAAAGAAGCATGGCAGGCAAAGCAGCATGGCAGGCAAAGCAGCATGACAGGCAAAGCAGCATGACAGGCCAAGCAGCATCGCAGGCAGCATGAGTGGAACGTTTGAGGTACCATGAGCAACACATCATTGCACAACACATACACTCTCATATCCCCCCCCTTCCCCCTCTCCCTTCCCCCGCTCTCACAGAACTGCAACCAAATCCAAACCACCCAGATCACCCACCTGAGCAGGCTGCACGAGAACGACCCTGCCAGGTGTCAGCAGCTGAGTGGCCTGGCGTGACCTCATGACCACGTCATGCAGGGCGGCATCCAGCTCGCGCGCCTCACTTGCCACGTCATAGTAGTGCTCTATCAACGAGGGGTCGCCAAGAATGCAGCTGGAGAGTGGAAGAATGGAGGGGGGCGGGATGGGAGGTAAGGTAAGGATGGATGGATAACCAGTGTCGCAAGCCTCTGATCCGATGAATGTCAAAAAGTAGTGCTGTATCAACGAGGGGCCACCCGGAGTGCAGGTGGGGAGTGGACGAGCCATGAGGGAGGGACGGCATGGGAGGCAAGTGAAGAGGGGAGGGAAGGAAGGAAGGGCAGGGAGGAATGGGAGGGAGGAATGGGAGGGAGGAATGGGAGGGAGGAATGGGAGGGAGGAATGGGAGGGAGGAATGGGAGGGAGGAATGGGAGGGAGGGCGGGGGGAGAGCAGTCCCCTGTAGCACTGATGGCATTGCATGCACGGGGCACTGATGGCATTGCATGCACGGGGCACTGATGGCATTGCATGCACGGGGCACTGATGGCATTGCATGCACGGGGCACTGATGGCATTGCATCCACGGGGCACTGATGGCATTGCATGCACGGGGCACTGATGGCATTGCATGCACGGGGCACTGATGGCATTGCATGCACGGGGCACTGATGGCATTGCATGCACGGGGCACTGATGGCATTGCATGCACGGGGCACTGATGGCATTGCATGCACGGGGCACTGATGGCATTGCATGCATGGGGCACTGATGGCATTGCATGCACGGGGCACTGATGGCATTGCATGCACGGGGCACTGATGGCATTGCATGCACGGGGCACTGATGGCATTGCATGCACGGGGCACTGATGGCATTGCATGCACGGGGCACTGATGGCATTGCATGCACGGGGCACTGATGGCATTGCATGCATGGGGCACTGATGGCATTGCATGCACGGGGCACTGATGGCATTGCATGCACGGGGCACTGGTGGCCTCGCCCCAGATGCTGCAGTAACAGATGGGCTGCGTGCAAACCGTACCTGATGGGCTGCATGCCACAGTACCCAATGACATAAGAACCACGGGGCAGCCGCAGTACCTGATGGGCTCCGCATTGGCCAGCTGCGCCAGAGACTCCTCCCCGGCCTGCAGCATCTTCTGCTGCTGGGGCAGCAGCCGCTGCGCATGTGCCTCTGCAAAGCTGCGCTTGAGCATGTCCTCCACCTGAAAAGGAGGAGGGGGGGGGAGGGGTTTGGGGCAGCAGTTGGCGTGCATGCGCCTCGGCAAAGCTGCACTGGAGCATGTCCTCCACCTGAACAAGAGGGGGGGATGGGTGGACAAGGCCTTCAAACCACACTGGGCGCTGAAGGGCAGCAGCTGCAGTGCATGCTCTTCAGCAAAGCTGCGCCTGCGCATGTCCTCCACCTGGGGGGGGTAGTAAAAAGCAATTCCCATAGGAGAGGTAACAGGTGAGGGAGCATGCAATGTCCTCCATGCACTCCATGCACCCCATGCACTCCATGCACCCCATGCACTCCATGCACCCCATGCACTCCATGCACCCCATGCACTCCATGCACCCCATGCACTCCATGCACCCCATGCACTCCATGCACCCCATGCACTCCATGCACCCCATGCACTCCAAGCACCCCATGCAATCCATGCACCCCATGCACTCCACGCACTCCAACATTTCTCTGTGATGCTGCTTGCCTCACCAGCGTGCGTCCAGCATGGGCGCAATTGTAGGAGTGACATATGGGAGGCGTATGGGAGGGAGATGAGGGGCGTATGGGAGGGAGATGAGAGAGTCATCTCTGTGTACTAACTATGTACTAACATTACACAGGTGTTATTCTCTTAGTTGCTGCCATGTATTGACACCGTCGCACCCGACTGGTGTTCCATCACGGATATGAGACACGGAACTGTGACTCCTGCTTGGTTGCCCGCTTGGCTCAGACTGCTAACCCACTGAAAGGACTTCCTCTAGAAGCAGACTGAGGAACCTCAACCTGGCACTCGAATCATATGAGCGGCAGAACTGGCTCTCCAGCTTGGTGGCCTTGTCGACGAGCACCCGTACGTTGAGGCACCTCTCGCAACCCACAATGCCCCCTCCCGCACTCACAGTGAGGTCTCTCGAACTCACTCAGGTCCCTCGAACTCACCGTAAGATCTTCCACGCGCAGCAGGTTGAGGATCATGGCGTAGGAGAGGCGGAACTGCGACTCCAGCTTGGTCGCCTTGCCAGTCAGAACCCGCCTCAGATCCACCTCGCTGGGCACCTCGTCGTTGTCCCAGCAGCAGATGATCACCGTGCCAAACTGGGAGGGATAAGCAAGGGGTGCAGGTGGGTTTGGAGGAGTGCACGCAAGGAGGGAGGGGAGCCTTGTTGTGAGTCCCCTAAGGTGAGACCCACCTCGCTGGGCACCTCGTCGCTGATTCAGCAGCAAATAATCACCCCGTGTGCAACTGAGGGGGACAAACAAGGCATGCACGTGGAAAGGAAGGGGCGCAAGCAAGCAAGTGGGATGGCAGGAGTGCCTTGTGAGTCGCCTCAGATCAGACCCACCTCATCGCTTATCAGCAGCAAATGATGACGCGGAAGCAGCAGCATACGAAAGCAGCAGCATACGGAAGCAGCAGCACACGAAAGCAGCAGCACACGAAAGCAGCAGCATACGGAAGCAGCAGCATGTCTGAGCTTGGCACAGCGCACTCTGCCGTCAATGCACCCAGCCCCACCTTGTCCAGCCCTCTCCTGCCCGCCCGGCCTGCCATCTGGGTGTATTCCCCCGGCAGCAGCATGCGGAAGGAGCGGCCGTCGTGCTTCTTGAGCGCATGGAAGGCCACCTGAGGAGTGTGGGGAGTAGAACAGGAGGAGAGGGGGGACGGGCGGAGGACGGTGGGGAGGAGGATGGTGGTGGGAAGGACAAGGGACATGGGAAAGGGAAAATGGGAGAAAGCTGGGGTGAGAAAGAAGAAGCACAAGGGAAGAGAAGAGAAGGCTCAACTGGCTGCACTTGGCAGACAAGAAGAAACTGACTGCTTGCACCCATGATCACACGTCATCACACCACTTGCCTAATGCATGCCGTCTTTGAGAAACGCATTGTTCATATACTTGCAGTGCATATCACCCCTTTTCCACTCTCACCACCCCTCAACACCCCTCATCAGGGCACTCACAGTGCGAGCGGGTGCGTTGACTCCCATGGCGAATGTCTCGGTTGAGAAGAGCACCTGCCAGCGCAGTCGATGGGGCATGGCACAGCGCAGTGGGAGCGCGGGTATAAGAGAACGCACAGGGGGGAGCAGCGCAGAGCACAGGGGGGAGCAGCGCAGAGCACAGAGGGGAGCAGCGCAGAGCACAGGGGGGAGCAGCGCAGAGCACAGAGGGGAGCAGCGCAGAGCACAGGGGGGAGCAGCGCAGAGCACAGAGGGGAGCAGCGCAGAGCACAGGGGGGAGCAGCGCAGAGCACAGAGGGGAGCAGCGCAGAGCACCGGGGGGAGCAGCGCAGAGCACAGGGGGGAGCAGCGCAGAGCACAGGGGGGAGCAGTGCAGAGCACCGGGGGGAGCAGCGCAGAGCACAGGGGGGAGCAGCGCAGAGCACAGGAGAGAAGAGATGGGCTGGGGTTGACCTGCACAGAGAATCTGGACTACTACAGGTGAGGTAGCAAACGTCACTTTGGTCAGGGCACCGCATTCCACCGCCTTAATCGAATGAGCCCGGAGCACAAGAGCATCTCCACAACCCCCCTCACTTTACTACGGGTGAGGCGGTGCTGCAGATGATGACGATGATTGAAATAATGGCTGGCTGTACTAACCAGAAAGCGCCTTACTCGGATGAGCCCCGAGAAAGGAGCATTTCCACCGCCTCACTCCCAATGGGCAGCCGCAGTTGCAAGCAACCCAAAGCTCCACACTACTATCAATCACCAACTTGTGCATGTGTGCTTGTAGGTCCAGTGACACAGCCTTACTCGGATGAGCCCCGAGCAGAAGAGCATCTCCACCACCTCCTTCACGATGGGCAGCAGCCCCGCATGGTGCACCCCGATGCCCCGCCGTAGCAGCTCAGATATCCGCTCCACCTGCCAGGTGGTGAAACAGGTGGGGTGTCAGGTGGGTGCCAGGTGGCATGTCAGGTGGTGTGTTAGGTGGATGTATGGAGTCCATCAGGTGGTGTGTGAGTAACAGGCGCCATGCTTTGATAGTTCCAAGGGTAGGAAACACAAGTAAGCACAGAACCAACAGGTGCAGGTGCTACCTCACCTGTGGCAGGTGTCTATAAGAGCCCTTGCGCCGTGCGAAGGCAGTGGTGTGGTGTGGAGCATCACAACGGCTTCACACCTGAGGCAGGTGTCGGTCGGAGCCCTTGAGGCGTGAGAAGGCGGTGTTGCAGAACATGACGATGTCGCTCTTGTCGCTCTTTGACGTCAGGTCCACCGACGTCAGGCTGTCCGCCGACTCGTCGCAGCGCCGCTTTGAGAAGCAGAACACCACCACCTGGGGATGGCGTTGGGATTTTGGAAATTTTGGAGGAAGTCGAACAGATTGCAGTACTTGGCATCGCGAAGAGTAGAATGGTATGACAGGCTGGACAGAAAAGAGGAGGAGGAGGAGGAGGAGGAGGAGGAGGAGGAGGAGGAGGAGGAGGAGGAGGAGGAGGAGGAGGAGGAGGAGGAGGAGGAGGAGGAGGAGGAGGAGGAGGAGGAGGAGGAGGTGGAGGAGGAGGAGGAGGAGGAGGAGGAGGAGGAGGAGGAGGAGGAGGAGGAGGAGGAGGAGGAGGAGGAGGAGGAGGTGGAGGAGGAGGAGGAGGAGGAGGAGGAGGAGGAGGAGGAGGAGGAGGAGGAGGAGGAGGAGGAGGAGGAGGAGGAGGAGGAGGAGGAGGAGGAGGAGGAGGAGGAGGAGGTGGACGAGGAGGAGGAGGAGGAGGTGGAGGAGGAGGAGGAGGAGGAGGAGGAGGAGGAGGAGGAGGAGGAGGAGGAGGAGGAGGAGGAGGAGGAGGAGGAGGAGGAGGAGGAGGAGGAGGAGGAGGAGGAGGAGGAGGAGGAGGAGGAGGAGGAGGAGGGGATGGAAGGCTATGCACGAGCAGCAGCTCCAGCTTGGCCAGCAGGTGCACGAGCTGCATGCACTCCGTCTCCGACCCCTCACCACCTCAAACGACACTCACCGGCAGCAGCTCCTGCTTGCCCAGCAGGTTGACGAACTGCATCCACTCCGTCGCCATTGACCGCCGGTACCGCTCCCCTCCCCCTCCCCCCATCGCCGCCGCTATCGCCCTCCCCGCTGCTGCCATCGCCACCCCCCTCCCCCTTCCCCCTCCCCCTCCCCCTCCCCCTCTCGCCGCTCCCCCTCCTCTTCCGCCTCTCCCTGCCTGCCCTCCCCCTCTCCCTTGCTGTCCCCCCCCCGCCCCTCCCCTTCCCCCGCTGCCTCTGCCGCCTGCGCCTGTGTGCTGTGCGGGGGGGGCGTGCTTGGCCTTGAAGGCGGCGTGCACCGTGCGCAGGGCCGCACTGTCGATGTCCCCGCGGTCAAAGATGCGGTACAGGCGGCCCCCGTAGTAGAGGTTGTGCTCCAAGGGCACTGGGCGCCGCGTGGTGCTGGAGGAGGGGGAAGAGGGAAAGGGGGAGGCGAGCCACATGTGCCTGGCTTCAAAGATGCCAGGTTGTGCTCCAAGGGGACCAGGCGCCGGGTGGTGCTGCGGTGGGGAAAGGGGGGAAGAGGGAGAGGGGTGGAGGGAAGGGGAGAGGGGAAAGTGGTGGGGGAAAATGGGGGGAGGGAGGAGAGGGGTGGGCTTAGCTTCAAAAGATGCGGGCCGGACGGCCCCCGTAGTAGTGGCTGTTCTCCACGGGACCAGGCGGTGGGATGGTGCTGGGGGGGGGGAGAGAGGAGAGAAGAGGAGAAAAGGGGGAGGGGAGAGGAGAGGGTTTAGCGTGGACAGGTGGGGTGGAGAGGATGGAACCCGGATGCTGCTCCACACTAACCCACCCTGTGCCACCCACCCTGTGCCACCCACCCTGTGCCATCCATCCTGTGCCATCCACCCTGTGCCACCCACCCTGTGCCACCCACCCTGAGCCACCCACCCTGTGCCACCCACCCTGTGCTACCCACCCTGTGCCACCTACCCTGTGCCACCCACCCTGTGCCACCCACCCTGTGCCACCCACCCTGTGCCACCCACCCTGTGCCACCTGCCCTGTGCCACCCACCCTGTGCCACCCACCCTGTGCCACCCACCCTGTGCCACCCGCCCTGTGCCACCCACCCTGTGCCATCCACCCTGTGCCACCCGCCCCACCCTGTGCCACCCACCCTGTGCCACCCACGCTGTGCCACTCACCCCGTAACAAAAATCTTCTTCCTCTTGGTTCGCCCAATCCAATCTGCGAACTCCGTGGTGTTGGGCACCTGGGCGGGAAAGGGGGGAGGGGAGGAGGGGGGGGGAGAAGGGAGGGTGGGGGAGGGATCGAGAGATGGAAGGATGGAAGGAGGGAGGTACATGTTACTCCTTGTCCGCGAGAACGTGGCATGCATTCAAGGGGATGTGCAAAGACAGGTGGATGAAGCATGTGTCGCTGTGGAATGTGCGGCAGGATGCTTGTACGGTGCACGGTGCATGATGCATGATGCTTGTACGGCGCACGGTGCATGATGCTTGTACGGTGCAAGGTGCATGATGCTTGTACGGTGCAAGGTGCATGATGCTTGTACGGTGCATGCGCATGCAGGATGGATGCATGCATGCGAGGATAACTAGCTGTGGCAAATAGCATGATGCACCCCACATGCGGCGGCAGCATGATGATTGCCTCCTCCCACACCACACATAATGGTGCACGGAGCATACGTGCATGGTGCATCACGCACTTGGCATGCACGGACATCATACTGTGGCAGAGAGAGTGATGCGCCCCACATGCGGCGGCAGCATGACAATCACCTCCTCCCACACCACTCCCCTTGGTTGGTGATGCATTCATGTATGCTCTGTGATGCATGGTGCATGCATGGTGCGAGCATGGTGCATGCGTGGTGCGAGCATGGTGCATGCATGGTGCGAGCATGCGCGCCTCACTCACCGTGGCGGAGAGCATGATGAGCCCCACGTGCGGCGGCAGCATGATGATCACCTCCTCCCACACCACGCCGCGCTCCATGTCGTTCACATAGTGCACCTCGTCGAACACCACCTGGAGAGAGGGTGGGACACAAATGTCATAGAGACACGGAGTTGGCGCATGGGATGGGATAAATGAAGGCTGCGCGTCTCCATGTCATTCACATAGTGCACCTCGTCCAACACCACATGGTGCGAAAAGGTCAATGGTCAATGGTAGATGGCACATGGGAGTTGAGGCATGGAGTGCATAAGGCTTGTACCGCTCAAAGTCGCTCACATAGTGCACTTTGTCAAATACCACCTCATGGTGGGTATGGGGAATGGTGTATGGACGATGGTGATGGGTTTATGTCTTAGATGACGTCAGCACATACCCACTCAATGTCTTTGATGATGTCAGCGGTGCGGTACAGCATGGACCTGAGGATCTCGGTGGTCATGATGAGGCACGACGCCTCGGGGCAGAAGCACTTGGCTACACACACGCTCACTCACACTCACCCAGTCAATGTCGTTAATGACATCAGCACATACCCATTCGATGTCCTTGATGATGTCAGCAGCGCGGTACAGCATGGACCTGAGGATCTCGGTGGTCATGATGAGGCACGACGCCTCGGGGCGCACGCTCAGGTCGCCCGTCAGCAGCCCTACGTCGAACTGCTTGCTGAAGTCGCGGAACTTCTGGTTGCTGATGGCCTTGATGGGCGACGTGTAGATTGCTCGCGTGCAGTGCTGCAAGCGAGGGAGGGAAGGAGGGGAAGCGGGTGGGGAGAAAAAGGGGAAGCCGAGGGGAAGCCGAGGGGATGAGCAGCCCCGCGTGAAGATTCTTGCGGAAGTCTCAGACCTTGATGGGGATGGCCTTGCCTGGCGCGGTGCGCACTGATGGGGATGGCCTTGATGGGGATGGCCTTGATGGGGATGGCCTTGATGGGGATGGCCTTGATGGGGATGGCCTTGATGGGGATGGCCTTGATGGGGATGGCCTTGCCTGGCGCGGTGCGCACTGCGCGCGTGCCGTGCTGCAAGCGAGGGGAAGCGGGAGATGGAGAGGAAGGAGGAAATCGCAACGATTGTAACGAGCTTCTTGTCGCTCATGATGGCCTTGATGGTGACGTATAGACAGATAGACTCGATACTTAGGCTTTTGAGATTCTCGGAGACTTGACATTAGACTCACTACTGAACCTTGAAATTTGTACTAGGCATAGGCTCAGTGCTTAACATTGTGTTGAGTACATTTGTAGACTCTGTGCTCAAACCTGTGTTAAATTCTTACAATTGACTCGGACCTCAACTTCGAGTTAGGAACTTATGATGGACTCGGTGCTTATTGTAGATGTGGTACTTCACATTGAGTTCCGTTGTTCTAAAGGAATTGGGCAGCGATGTAGTCGACAAAGGACCTTGATGACAAGGGTAAAGGAGGGGTGTACTCATCAGACGTATTCAAGCACGGACCTTGGCAGCGAGGGCGAAGGCGTATTCAGCAACAACGGTCTTGCCCGCGGAGGTGTGTGCGGCGACGAACACCGACTCGTGGCGCTCCAGATGGATGATGGCCTGATGCACGCGGGATGACGGGGTGCAGGGAGGGGCGGGTGGGCGGGCAGGGGGTGATGATGGGCGGGAGGGAGGGGAGCTCATGGCTTGCCAGCAAAAGTGTGTGGGGTGAGAAAGACCGACTCGTGCTGCTCCAGATGGGTGGTGGCCTGATCAAGGGAGCACGGGGGGGGGGGGGTGATGGGTGTGGTGCAGGGAGTTAACGTGTGGAGAGGGGAGGGGAGCTCATGACACGCCCATGTCAGAGCGTGCGGAAATGAAAACGGACTCGTGCCGCTCCACATGGGACATGGCCTCATCAACGGAGTGGCAGGAGGTGGTGACTGGGGGGAGGGTGAAAACGGACAGCAGCGGAGGGCGAGTGGGGCTCAGAGGAGGAGGCAGCTGGGTGAAAGGAGTCGACACGCATCGAGCTGGCAGGGGAAATGCATGGCCATGGCGGACGCTATCATGGCACAGACAGGATACAAGATGCGCTATCATGGCACAGACAGAAGACAAGATGCGCTATCATGGCACAGACAGAAGACAAGATGCGCTATCATGGCACAGACAGAAGACAAGATGTGCTATCATGGCACAGACAGAAGACAAGATGCGCTATCATGGCACAGACAGAAGACAAGATGCGCTATCATGGCACAGACAGGAGACAAGATGCGCTATCATGGCACAGACAGGATACAAGATGCGCTATCATGGCACAGACAGAAGACAAGATGCGCTATCATGGCACAGACAGAAGACAAGATGCGCTATCATGGCACAGACAGAAGACAAGATGCGCTATCATGGCACAGACAGAAGACAAGATGCGCTATCATGGCACAGACAGGATACAAGATGCGCTATCATGGCACAGACAGAAGACAAGATGCGCTATCATGGCACAGACAGAAGACAAGATGCGCTATCATGGCACAGACAGAAGACAAGATGCGCTATCATGGCACAGACAGAAGACAAGATGCGCTATCATGGCACAGACAGAAGACAAGATGCGCTATCATGGCACAGACAGAAGACAAGATGCGCTATCATGGCACGACCCTCCTCTTGCTGGAAGGGCTGGCAGAGGGAGGCTCACCTCCTTCTGGAAGGTGTCGAGTTGGAAGGGGAAGTGCATGGCCATGTCGGGCTCAATCATGGCGAACTCGTGGTCTAGATTCGCCACCGCGTCTGTCACCGCCCACGCCCATGACTGGCCCTGGCGGGTGCAAGGTGGGGGCATCATCGGAGGAAAGGAAAAAGGGAGAGATTAAGTCGTCCATGGGCGGTGGCCAGCGCCCATGCCGTTGAGTGGCGGCCCTGGGGGGCTAATGTAGAGGGGTCGGGCGAAGACAGCATGGGATGGCATGAGGCACAAAGCATGAGCCTCTGCGACGAGGGCTCGTGCATGCGAGCAATGTTGACGCACCATCTGACCTCGTTAGACGTAGCACCAGGGCGAGATGAATGGAAGAGAATGGCCCCATGTAGATTTACCTTTTTAGGAGCAGCAGGTCGTGATGATATACAGGGGGGTAGCACTCTAGCCGGACCCTGCGCTCCACCACTCAAAGCAGCCGAACACACCCCTGCCCGCTCCCGCAACTCCTACTTACCTCTTATGTTCCATCTCACCACTTTGGATTGGAGGCAGCAGGGCGAGGACACAGGGGTGGCACCCACCCAGCAGGCCTAAGCCAGACTCCCCAGTCCCCCACTCTATGCAGCCAAACGCACCCCCTCCCCCTCCCCCCCCTCCAAATTAGAAACTCCTTGGCAGCAAAGCAACTAGCCTCTGTGGAGGCAGCAGGGCGAGACGACACAGCGGTGGCACCCAGCAGCCCCAGTCCAGAGCCCGCCATGACCCCGTCCACAGCTCAATGCTGCGGAACGTGCCCCTGCCCGCCCCCACACCTCCCACTCACGTCTTTGGAAGCAGCAGGGCGGGACGAGACAGGCGTGGAGCCCAGCAGCCCCAGCCCAGAGCCCGCCGTCCACCACTCAATGCTGCCGAACGCTCCCCTGCCTGCCCCCAGCAGATCGTCCACTGCTGCCGCTGCCCCGCTCTTCCTCGCCCTGGGCTTGGCCTGGGTTGATGGCCGGGCGACGGCTGCACGAGATGGGGCGATAGAAGAGGAAGGGGAACACGTGAGGGGTGGGAAGAGCCGCCCCCAGCAGCGCCTCCACTGCTGCCGCTGCCCCGCTCTTCCTCGCCTTGGGCTTCGCCTGGGGGGACGGCCTGGCCACGGCTGTGTGAGAGAAAAGAGGGGGGGGGGGGGGGGGGGGGGAGGGGGTTTGGTTGGGGCGGGGGGGTGGAAGTGAGATCAGGGGAAGCGGCCACCCCCAGCAAATCGTCCACTGCTGCCGGTGCCCCCCTCTTCCTCGCCCTGGGCTTCACTTGGAGGAAAGCCTGGCGACGGCTGTGCGAGATGCGGGATACAAGTGGACGGGGCAGAGGAGAGGCTCGGAAGGGGCCACCCGCAGCAAATCATCCACTGCTGCCACCGCCCCGCTCTTCCTCGCCTTCAGCTCCGGCTGGGGAGACTGGTGAGAGGGGCAAGCAGGGAGACAGGTGAGAGGGGCAAGTAGGGAGACGGGTGAGAGGGGCAACTAGGGAGACGGGGTTAGGGGGGAAGTGAGGTGGGAAGGGCCGCCCCTGGCAGCGCGTCCACTGCTGCCGCCGCCCCGCTCTTCCTCGCCCTGAGGGGGGGACGGCCTGGCCACGGCTGTATGGGGAAGGGGGCGGTGCGGGGGGAAGCTGATGGAAGGGGACGTGCGACGCTTGGCTTACTACGAGACAAACGGCGCAAAATTCTGAGCTCGGATGAAACTATGCAACCTTAAGAAGAGGGCGCGCTTCAGCAGTGACGCGAATTCCGAAGTTGGAAGACTCCAACCGAGCCACTTGTGGTCGTGCAAAGCAGACGACTATCCCAATGAACAAACGACCCATGCCAGCTCAGCTTCTGCGCATTCCTTCACATGAATCACCCATGCTGCTGCCACCCACCTGCTGCCACCCACCCACCTGCTGCAGCAACCATCTCCGAGCTGATTTCCCCTCCGGCCTCTTCCCCCTTTTCCTCCCCTTCCTCCTCCTCCTCTTCCTCCTCCTCTTCTTCCCCCCCCTCCTCTTCGTCGCCCCCAGCGGCCCAGGCTGTGTGAAACACATGTGCAAAGCCAAGCTTCCCGCTGTCCCCCTCTCCTTCCCCCTCCCCACGTCCATCGTCTCCCCCCACCCCCGCGCCCGCCTCCACCTCCCCCGCCTCCTCCGCCCTTCTCCCACCACCTTCTTCCCCCTCCCCGCCACCACCACCACCACCAGCACCGGCACCTCCAGCGCCAGTACCGCTCCCTGCCTCCCCTCCAGCACTGAGAGCGTGCGCCTCCTCGGAAGCGTCCTTAGCGGCGGGTGCCAGGGCGCACAGCAGAGAGAGGGGCAGCAGGCCCCTCTGGGGGACAGGTGGGGGCGGATGGGGCGGATGGGGCAGAGAAAGTTCTCAATCTCTGGGGGTAATGTGGCAGGTGGCAGGCAACCGTGTCCGCTGTGCTTCACATGGATGGAAGCACCGTTGGGTTGATACGTGGTGGTGAGGGGTCTCGAAGGAGGGCTGGGCGCAGGAGCAGGGAGGAACCGAGGAGGGGTTTTGAAAACGCCAAGAGTCTCCCATATGTATGTCAGCAGGGAAAAGGGTGGGGGGGGAGGAGGATGTGTGTGACGGGGCTACGAATTGGTGCAGAGGCAAGGTGATGCGACGACACAGAGAGCACGAGGCGGCAGAAGAGTGCGAAGTATGCGAGGAAAGGTGAAGAGCGCTGGAATAGCAAGCAAAGTAGCATTTATCCCGTGCTTTGCCCTTCCAAGGGGTTTGATGGATGGCAGGGGGACAGGACGAGTACAGGGGGAACGCATGGGGAAGGAATGCGAGCAGTGGAATCAGGAGGACAAGGAGGACACGGCACACAGACGAGCACACATCCACTCCTCTCGCCTCTGCCATTGCTTCGTTTGCCTACTTGTGAACGCGTTGTTTGGTTTGAGACAATGCGACCCCTAGGATCTCCCACCCCTCCCTCACCTCCTCCCTCGTGTCGAATCGCCCTCCCTCAGTGAACCCTGGCGCCACGCTCAGCAGCAAAGACACATCCCCAAGACCCCCACTGCGCCCCTCCCCATCAGCGGCTCCCCCTCCCCCACTGCCCTCCAGATACGCAAACAGCGCCGCCAACGCCTCCTCTGACTGCCCTGCCCCCTCCGCTTTGGACCCCTCTGCACCTCCACTGGCACCACCCGCACCACCCGCAGCGCCAATACCAGCGGCAGCAGCATGGGGGAGCGGGTCGGAGGAGAGAGCGAGGGAGTGCGAGGCGGGGCCGCCCGTGGTGCCACGGACCAGCTCAACGTCAGAGGGAGGCGGACGCGTGAGGTCCAGAAACGTGCCTGGGGGGAAGAAAAGCTGGGGAAGGGGAAGGGGGGGGGGGGGGGTGGGAAGGGGGGAGCAGGAAGGTGGGGCCAGGTGAAGGGGGAAGAAGAGCCAGGGGAGAGACGTTGTGGGGCGACGGGGGAAAAGGCGGAGGAGAGGGTGCGGGATTGGAAGCAGGACCGCCTGTGGTGCAGCAGACCAGCTCGAGGCGGGAGGGAGGCGGGAAGGTGAGATTCAGACACGTGAGATTCAAAGAGTTTCATTTTCCATATCTTGGACAGAAGAGAAAAGAAGAGAAGGACAGGGAGAGAGAAGGACAGGGAGAGAGAAGGACAGGGAGAGAGAAGGACAGGGAGAGAGAAGGACAGGGAGAGAGAAGGACAGGGAGAGAGAAGGACAGGGAGAGAGAAGGACAGGGAGAGAGAAGGACAGGGAGAGAGAAGGATAGGGAGAGAGAAGGACAGGGAGAGAGAAGGACAGGGGGAGAGAAGGACAGGGAGAGAGAAGGACAGGGAGAGAGAAGGACAGGGAGAGAGAAGGACAGGGAGAGAGAAGGACAGGGAGAGAGGACAGGGAGAGAGAAGGACAGGGAGGCTCTTCCCCTCTTCCCCTCCCTCCGGTTGGGCCCTGCCCACTTCGCCCTAGCCCTTGCATTCCGCCTTGGCCTTCCCTTCTCAACACCCATGCGGTACCGCCTTGGCATCTGCGACTGTTCAGACCGCATCCCCATCCTCGACCCGCCGCTCCCCAACCACCTTTTCCGCTGCGGGGCGGGACATGGACGGATGGGACATGGACGGACGGACACGCACAACGCCCTTAGGGACGAGTGCGTGCAGATGGGGCAGGACGCGGGGTACATCGTCTACAAAGAGACGACCATTTTCTGCCCCGTCGATGGCCACAAGGCCGACCTAGCGATTCGAGACCGCGATACAGGAGCCGTATGGATCTGTGACATCACTGTCACCGACCCAATCGGCACTCGAGACCCGCAGCGGGGTTGGGCGGCACGCGAGCGAGCAGACGACAAGATCGACCACTACAGGAATCGGGCGGCCTATGTAGGCCTCTACCCACTGCCGGTCGAGACATACGGCTGCCCCTGCTGGGAGGTTCCAGCCTTCCTCAAGCAACTAGCGGAGGCTGCCGCCCGAGGCTGTTCAATGCGGACCCCTTTACTTACCAGGCCACCAAGATGCTCCACCCATTCCGGCAGGGGTGGTCCGTGGCACTACAGCGGGGGCAAGCCACCTCGTACCTCAAGAAGGTCCACGAGGCTGCCCTCGCCAAACACCCCCCACTGGGCTCCCCCGAGGAGACCTTCTCCTTGGCTGACTGCTTCGCAGTCCTGGAGCCTTTGGCAGAGCTCCCTTAGGTGGGGCCCGCTGGACTAGCTGCATGTGCCTACCTTGTGACGCTCCTTGCATGCTTAGCCTGTACCAACGTTTTCAGCAATACAAGGACCGCTTGAAGGAGAGGGAGGAAAGGGAGGGGCAAGAAGGAAAGCATGCACGAGAAAAGGGCGTTGCAGCATGCCTTAGGCTAGTTACGGGTTTCGTGGGTCTCGAACCGTGAGTGCGCCGCAACACGGAGTGACAGGGGGGGGGGCGGGGGGGGGGAACACATGGGGAAGCAAAGGGAAGGCAGGACGAGCAAATCAAAGTGCAGGAGGGGCCTCAGGGCTGCTTGACTCCGTGTCTCCTATCGGACTGGGCAGCCATCCACGTGCACGCATCTGCTCGGCTCTGCACCCACGAGAGTGACCAAACAAGACGCCCATGCACCCACACCACACGTGCACCCATTGCCCTCTATCCCACCCACGCACGGGGGAGAGGCACAGACAACAAGCATATGAGCTGAAGCACCTCACCGAATGCAGCCCACAGCTCACCTCGTCCACCAGCTCACCTCGTCCACCAGCTCCGGTCGCCACAGCCCCCCTCCTCCATCCCCATCCACCCCTCCCTTCCCCACTCCCTCTGCTTCGCCTCCCCCCACACCCTCTCCCTCCCCCTCTCCCTCCCCCTCCCCCCCCCCCACCCCCCATCCCCCCACTTCTCCACCCAAGGGGGCTGCCACGCTGGCTGCAACACGCTCTCCAGCCCGCCAGGTGTCACGGCTGACAGGGCGCCACGTGGCATCCAGTCATACTGCCACATGGGGTTGTCCTGCGGCTCTGATGCCAGCTGGCGCTCCACGTCATCCCACACTGCTAGAGGGCACAGCTCCGGTAACTCCCGAACGTCAAGAGGCTCGGGGAAAGGAGGTTTGGGCTGGAGGAATGAGGAACGGAGGAGGAGAGGAAAGGGGACGAGGGTTTGGTTGCGTTCTAATTTCCCTATATGGGTGACCCGAATGTACTCGTCTAGAATAAATAGTGAAGTTTCGGCCATGAGCGGGCTGAAGAGAGGGCAAAAGAGGGTTGGGGCGGAGGGGGTGGAAGGCAGGTGAATAAGAGAAGGGAGTGGGTGGCATGATGGAAGATGGAAATATCCATTGTGCATGGGTATGAGACGCGCGTGGAATGAGCGCAGGCAGCGAGCATGGGAGCATGGGAGCATGGGAGCATGGGAGCATGGGACCAGGCAGAGGGATGGGATCCGAGGAGGGGCGAGTAACGAATGGTGATGTGAGTGGAGCGGGTAGGAGAGGCAGACCACACACTGCAGGCGGGGGGCGGTGGGGGATGGAGGGATGAAGAAGGGGAAGCGGAGGGGGAGGGCGCATGAGCGGGGGCGGAAAGGGGAGGGGCGCACGCGGGCGAAGGACGGGAGAGCGAGGCGGGGATGGGTGGAGGGGGAAGCGGTGGGGAAAGGGAGAATCGGGGGGGACATAAGGGGGAGGGGCGCACCACGAAGGGCAGGGGCGCGATCGGGGATGCAGGGGGAAGCGGTGGGGGAAGCGGTGGGGGAAGCGGTGGGGGAAGGTACCATGTGGGAGCATAAGGGGGAGTGGAAGGGAGAAGGGCGCACCAGCGCGAAGGGCGAGGGCGCGAGGTGCGGATGGAGGGGGAAGCGGTGGCGGTCCACGGCGACAATCTCGAGGTGCCCCGCGTACCCTGTCACCCCCAGCGATACCGCCACCTCCGCTGCCCGCCCATTCTCCACGCCCCCATCCGTCTTCCGCCCTTTCTCGCCAGCACCGTCCCCCATCCGCCCCTTTTCCCCCCGGCTCCCCCCATGCGCCGCCGCCGCCGCCGCCGCCGCCGCCGCCGCCGCTGCTGCTTCCCCCCCGCCCGTCGCCCCCTTCCCGCCCCGTTGCTTGCCGCCCATTCCGCCGCCTAAGCTGGAGTGCGTGCTGACAGCACGACTTATCTGAAGAGAACCAAAGAAAACGACTCGACTTGTTGGAGTCTGCCTTACAACCAACCAGCGCTAGCCCCGCACTAAATGGATGAACCGATGGAGTCGGACCACGCGAGGCTGCTTCCCGTATGCGAATCACTGATAACCCTGTCGTCACGCGGAGCGCGAGGCAATGGTCCTGCCAGAAGCAGATTCTCAGTCGAAGTAGACGAGGGCACTAGGGTGTTGTGTGGTGCGAGCAAATGTGCTCCGCCAAGGAATGACCCGACGAGAATCTGAGAAATGGCATGTACGAGTACAGTTAACGCGTTAGTTATAAATCTAGCGTTTCTGAGTTTCTAGCAGCCTTGTGCAAATATATGAGCTAGACCAATCCGGGGGTCCGAAATGATCCTGTTAGGAGCTGATCTAGTTTAGTTACGGTTAGAGCTAGAACTGTTCGTTGCACCCGCTATTAAACGATATTTAATTTGTAAGGTGTGAGCCTCGGTATTCTAAAATGAGGTTATGTGGGGCAGCGTTGGAACATCGCAGTAGTGGTGTTTGCGTCCACACCGCTGCTGGCCGGACAAGTCCTCGTCTAATCACGTCGAGCGGCGCTGGAAGTCGTCGCATCGCATCACTGTCACTCGCGCTTGCGACCCGCTCTCTCGCATCCGCGTGCGCGCGTTCCTTGTCCGACTCCCCGTCGCTGCGCGAGGTTCGGGGTGTCGGCGGATTCTGGCTCCGAATCCCGTGAATTTAGCCCTGCTGAGTCCAGCAGCGCCCTTCGCGCCCATGGCGTCTCCTTCGCGCCCCTCCACTCCCTCGACGCGCGGCCCCAACTTCTTCGCGGGCAACCCGCTGCTGCCACGTAAGCAGGAGAAGGCCAGCGTGGCACAACTGCTCACTCCGCCCGACGCTGTCACCGCCACGCCTCCGCTTCCCCCGCTTTCCTCCCGCCCTAGCTCCGCCCTCCCCGGTTCCGCGCCCGCCAAATCGCCTCTGGGCGTGGCGCATCTGCTGCACCCGTTAGGCCCGTCAAGAACGTCCTCGTTACCGGCTCACTACTCCCTGCCGCCCGGCGACCTGCCTATATCGAGTCTGCATACTTCCAGCAGCGCGTCGGCCCTCACAGGCACGCCGGATGCCGCCGAATCAAATCCCACACGAAGCGAATCATATCCAATCCGAACTGTATCAAATCCGATCCGGATCGAGCCTCAGGTCCTGGCGGTTCTGGACGGGCGGGTCCTCGTGGCGTGGTCGCAGCGTCGGGCTCCATCCGCTGCTGCTGCTGGCGCCGACGTCACACCTCCTGTAGAGGCTCGGCAATCTGGACAGGCAGCAGGTTCGGCGGCAGGTTCGGCTGCAGGCTCGGATGCTCTGCTGTCTGGCTGGTGCCTGGCCTGGCAGCCGCTGTCGTCTTTCGACGCTGGGGCCGGGAAGGGCGGCGAAGGGGCAAAAGGAGGGCCGGAGGGCGGGCGGGAGGGGGGCGGCAGCAGCAGCGGCAGCAGCAGCAGCAGCAGCAGCAGCAGCAGCAGCAGGGTGTGGGAGAAGCTGGTGTATCTGGGGGAGAGGCATGGCGCCCCGCATTTTGCTCTCGAGGTGCAGCTGGACCCCGGCGCTGCTGCTGCCGCTGCTGCCGATGGTGGTAAAGCCGCTGCCAAGTCTGCTGCTTCTGCCTCTGCTACAGCCGGAGGAACGGGGTCGGCATTGAATGGTGGTGCAGGAGCAGGGGGGGGAGGGGGGGGAGGGGGGGAGGGGGGGGAGGGGGGGGTGGTGGAGGTGGCGATGCGGCGAGTCAGCGGCTCACATCCAGCCTGGCTACGCCTGCCACCCCTCCGCCCAGCCCTGACACGCCTGCCGAACCTGCCTCTGAACCTGCTGCCCCTGCCAAGCCTGGCTCAGCTCCCGCCAGTGCTGCTGCCCCTCCTGCTCGTGCCGCGTCCACGCCTGATGCTGCCGGTGGTGCGCCTGCAAAGGGGGAGGGGGGAGCCAGTGCGCAAGGCAGCAGGGGCAGTGGAGGCAGCAGGAATGGGGGGAGAGGAGGAGGAGGAGGAGGAGGAGGAGGAGGAGGACGGGAAGAGAGAGGAGGGGGGGTGGTGATGGTGGCGGGGTACGGGCGGGCGGCGTTTGTGGACCTGCGCGCTCTCATGCTCGCCACGCACCCCCTGGACGCGCATGCACGGCACGACCTGGCGATAGCGGGCCATGTGGGTAGAGGGGGAAGCAAGGGTTGTTGTACGCTCCCATCCCATCCCATCCCATCCCATCCCTCCCCATCCCATCCCATCCCATCCCATCCCTCCCCATCCCATCCCATCCCATCCCATCCCATCCCATCCCATCCCATCCCTCCCCATCCCATCCCATCCCATCCCATCCCTCCCCATCCCATCCCATCCCATCCCATCCCATCCCTCCCCATCCCATCCCATCCCATCCCATCCCATCCCTCCCCCATCCCATCCCATCCCATCCCATCCCATCCCATCCCATCCCATCCCATCCCATCCCATCCCATCCCATCCCATCCCATCCCATCCCATCCCATCCCATCCCATCCCATCCCATCCCATCCCATCCCATCCCATCCCATCCCATCCCATCCCATCCCATCCCCATCCCATCCCATCCCATCCCATCCCATCCCATCCCATCCCTCCCATCCCATCCCATCCCATCCCATCCCATCCCATCCCCATCCCATCCCATCCCATCCCCTCCCATCCCATCCCATCCCATCCCATCCCATCCCATCCCATCCCATCCCATCCCATCCCATCCCATCCCATCCCATCCCATCCCATCCCATCCCTCCCCATCCCATCCCATCCCATCCCATCCCTCCCCATCCCATCCCATCCCATCCCATCCCATCCCATCCCATCCCATCCCTCCCATCCCATCCCATCCCATCCCATCCCATCCCATCCCATCCCATCCCATCCCTCCCCATCCCATCCCATCCCATCCCATCCCATCCCATCCCATCCCATCCCATCCCATCCCATCCCATCCCATCCCATCCCATCCCATCCCATCCCATCCCATCCCATCCCATCCCATCCCATCCCCATCCCATCCCATCCCATCCCATCCCATCCCATCCCATCCCATCCCATCCCATCCCATCCCATCCCATCCCATCCCATCCCATCCCATCCCATCCCATCCCATCCCATCCCATCCCATCCCATCCCATCCCATCCCATCCCATCCCATCCCATCCCATCCCCATCCCATCCCATCCCATCCCATCCCATCCCATCCCCCATCCCATCCCATCCCATCCCATCCCATCCCATCCCATCCCATCCCATCCCATCCCATCCCCATCCCATCCCATCCCATCCCATCCCATCCCTCCCCATCCCATCCCATCCCATCCCATCCCTCCCCATCCCATCCCATCCCATCCCATCCCCATCCCATCCCATCCCATCCCATCCCTCCCCATCCCATCCCATCCCATCCCATCCCATCCCATCCCATCCCATCCCTCCCCATCCCATCCCATCCCATCCCATCCCATCCCATCCCATCCCTCCCCATCCCATCCCATCCCATCCCATCCCATCCATCCCATCCCTCCCCATCCCATCCCATCCCATCCCATCCCATCCCATCCCTCCCCATCCCATCCCATCCCATCCCATCCCATCCCATCCCATCCCATCCCATCCCATCCCATCCCATCCCATCCCATCCCATCCCATCCCATCCCATCCCATCCCATCCCATCCCATCCCATCCCCATCCCATCCCATCCCATCCCATCCCTCCCATCCCATCCCATCCCATCCCATCCCTCCCCATCCCATCCCATCCCATCCCATCCCATCCCTCCCCATCTGATCTCATCCCACCTCTCACGCTAAACATGACCCTGCAAAAGTCGCCTTGGTGCGGCGCCCCGTGCGGCCGGCATATTTCACGGACGTGCGAGGCCCCATGGAACCCGGTGTGTGCGCGCTGTGGGACTCAAAAGTCATCCTCCCGTGTCCCTCTCCTCCCGTTCAGGCCGCCACCCCTCTAGCCTGGCTCAAGCACGCCTTTCCAGCGCGGCTCGCATCGGCAGCGCATTTGGGGGCGGCACCTCACCCTGACCCCCTCACTCGCCCTTGCCGCGCCTCTTCTCTCACCTCCTCTTCATTCAGGCCCGCGCCCTTCTCGCGTGGCACAAGTCCGCTCGCTTCTGTGGCGCCTGTGGCGCGCGCACGGCGCCTTCAGAGGCGGGCAACCGGCGGCAGTGCCCCATCGCTGCGTGCCGCACCAAGCTGTACCCGCGCATCGACCCGGTGAGCTGGGTGCGCCGTGCGACTCCACGCACACACACCTCTCCTTGAGAGTTGGGCGACCGGCGGCAGTGCCCCATCTCTATGTGCCGCACCAAGCTGTGCCCACGCTGTGGGAAGTCTGGGGCGTCTTGGGCCCAACAGGCTTCTGGTTGTCAAGCACAAGTGCATTAGGAAAATCTGTTGCGGTCACATCTGGTCACATCCGTGGCGTCCTCTGCGGCACTGGTTGGGTCCTCATGAAACCCCCATGAAACCACGGATATGGAATGGAATGGAGTCAGTCATTGCGATTCGGATATGGAATGGAGTCAGTCATTGCGATTCGGATATGGAATGGAGTCAGTCATTGCGATTCGGATATGGAATGGAGTCAGTCATTGCGATTCGGATATGGAATGGAGTCAGTCATTGCAATTCGGATATGGAATGGAGTCAGTCATTGCGATTCGTGCGTGCAGCTTTTGTCGCGAGTACAACGCGTGACATGCTTTGTTGATCATGCTTTGTTGATCATGCTTTGTTGATCATGCTTTGTTGATCATGCTTTGTTGATCATGCTTGTTGTTCACTTTCCGCAACAAACCCCACATGTCCCACCCCCACTACACACTCCACCAAGCGCGCCGCTCAAGCCCAAACCACTCCATCAGAGGTGATGCTGATGCTGATGCTGGCGTTGCCTAGCGTTTCCCTCTGCTGCTGATCGCTCACCTGCTGCTGATCGCTCACCTGCTGCTGGGCTGATGGGTTCCTCTGTGTTGCCATCCGCGCCCCTCGCGGGTCCAAGACTCGGGGCTCAAACACGCCACGAGAGGTCATGCCATGCTGGTGGTTCACCCCTGGCCCGACCGTGTGCTGCTGCTGGGAGGGAAGGCAGCACCGCTGCACCCCTCCATCCCACCTTATAGGAATCGCATGCATGCGTTCTCCCCCACCGCCCTGGGAGCACGTGGTGATCGTGCTCGTGCTTCCTGCCCCTTTCCATCTGGCCGAGTGCTGGTTGCCGTACGCACCCTACCCCCCATGCCTGATTTCTGTATTTGTTTGCCCGTCTCCCATGCCTCACACCCACAGGTGGTGATAATGCTGGTGGTGCATGCCCCATCTGACCGCGTGCTGCTGGGCCGCCAGCACCGCTTCCCAGACGGCATGTGGAGCTGCTTGGCTGGCTTCATGGAGGTGCAGGCATGCATGCATAGAGTGCTAGTTGTGCATGCATGTGTGCATGTGTGCATAGCAGGTAGTTCCATGCACATAGGTGTTAATGATCTGTGCTTAACGCTGCTGGGCAGGCAGCACCACTTCCCCGATGGCATGTGGAGCTGCCTAGCTGGCTTCATGGAGGTGCGTGCTGCACCCATGCACACATGCACACATGCACACATGCATACATGCACACATGCATACATGCACACATGCACACATGCATACATGCACACATACACACATGCACACATGCACACATGCACACATGCATACATGCATACATGCACACATGCACCCATGCATGCATACATGCATGCACGGCCAAGAGGGGGGGGGAGGGGGAGGGGGGGGGGGGGCTTCTCCGTGGATGACTCCCCGCTCATTATTCCCATGTCCGCTCTTCCCTTTGTCCCTCGTCCCTTAACTCCCATCAGCCCGGGGAGAGCTTGGAGGAGGCTGTAGCACGGGAGGTGGGGGAGGAGGTGGGGCTGCCAGTGACGCACACCAGATACCACTCGTCGCAGCCGTGGCCAGGTGAGGTGGCAGGTGTTCCCCCGCTGATACTTGATTCCACCTGCACCAGACGCGGCTTGATTCAACCTGCACATGTGCCGTGGTGACGCACACCAGCAACCACTCCAGTTACCCTTCGCCTGGTGTTCTTTACAGCGACTTGCCGTAAAGTTTGCTGGGTTGAGAAGAGGTGTGAAGTCGTGTGCAGCGCACGCAGGTGGCTTTGGGTGGCCTAGCGGGCTTTGAGTGCCAAGTGGGCTTTGAGTGCCAAGTGGGCTTTGAGTGCCAAGTGGGCTTTGAGTGCCAAGTGCGCTTTGAATAGCCTACACTCGTCGTGCCTTCTGCCCGTTATCCTCTCAATCCCACCCATCCGCACCTCCCACTCATCCTCACCTCCCACCCATGCACGCCTCAGATGGGGTTTGGTAGCATGCAGTGTTTGACCACACTGCATCTCTCCTCTCCTTTCTCTCCTCCTCGTTTGTCTCTCCACCCTCCCAGTGGGCTTTGGCAGCATGCAGTGCCAGCTGATGGTGGGCTTCTTTGCGTTCGTGGAAGAGACAAGTGTCGCCCTCAGCACGCACGAGCTGCAAGGTGCGTTGCTCTCACCACCCACCGTCGAGCTGCAAGGTGTGTGTGGTTGGGATGGCAGTGGCACAAGGAAGAGGAGGGACTGTTTTGTGTCTGGATGGATGTTCCCAGGCTAAGGTTGATTTCCGCATCGAAGTGCATCTTCATCCATATGGAGAGAGAAGAATGGGTGTGGAAGTAAAATTCTTTCTCCATGATTTAATCTGTTACTGTATCTCTCTTCTGTGCTTAGGCAAGCTTGCATGTGAGACTGTTTGTCTTTGTTGTTGGGTGGATGAGTCCAACCTCTCACGGAAATATTTTCTCCACGCCCCCTCACTCGCTATTCATACATTTGACGAAACGTTCAATTTTGTACTCTGTTGTTTGTTGCAGATGCTCGTTGGTTCACACGCCACCAAGTTGCAGCTGCGCTCTCATTCGAGAAGTACGAGACTGAGTGTAACGATGCTCGTCGCAAGATGTACATGAAGCTTGTTCCGCATGCGTCTGATGACCCACCACTAATGGTAGAGAACAAGCCAAACGGCCACGTCTATGTGCCAGGGCCGTACGCCATTGCACACCATTTGATAGCTACTTGGGCACGAGACAAAAGCATTGTAGATGGTCATAGCTGCTTGTGATGTAATGACAAACAGATGTAAAGAGGAGTATGTTCCATATATCAAATCACCCTACGGTATACCATGAAATGTAGGTTTTCGGACGGCATCCGTAAGCCCCCGATTCCTTTCTCCCCTGCCCGTTAATTTCTGCCCTAAGGGCGCATTCCGGACTCGTGTCAAGCCTCCGGTCATGTCTTCCGAGCCTCAACTTCGGGTCTTCTGAACCTAACTTCTGGTCGATAACCATCGATATGCTACAATGCTCAGCGATGAAAATGTCACCGGCACAATTTCCGCCAAAATGCGCATTCGATTCGCGTTTCCTGTTTGTGTTTCGCAAATGCAAGTTCGTTCATGTGCTTCTGTTCGTGGGTCGTTTGAATTTCGTGGACCCGAAGCCTCGGATTTTCCGGCTTCGTGTCTTCCAAGTCTAACCCGAAGATTGACATGAGCCCGGATGCGCCCTAAGCATCCGTATGTACACCCCACAGCTTCCGGGTTCTGTGGACCCACCCTGAAATTTCAACTTTCCCAGTCAGCATTTTCCCTCCGTGTGGAGTACCACCTCACGGCGGCGCAGCTTCTCTTGCGCTTGCGCATCAGAACGGTGCCCTTGCACAACATCCCTAACTGCCTCGTCATCATGTCCGAGCTAATGATCACGCCACGTGCGAAGCTCAGGCTTCGCTGGTCCGTTGCACAAAACCCACGCTGGACGCAATCACTCGAGCTGAGGCGACAGCCCTCGTACGTATGCTTGACTGGCCTTAGGGCACTCGGATCCACGGAGGAGCCACGTTTGACGAACTATCCCCAGGGATCTCTAAAGATGACACAAACACGTTCCAGACCACGTCATTCGTACGTTACACCCCACACGTCAACTGGTTCGGCCTCACAAGCTTGTGGCTGGGGGAACAGCCCCAGCATCCAGCATGGACCCGAAAAGTCGCTGCCACGGGAGCGGCGTGCGTCGAAGTGCTGGCACGCCATTTGCAAGCGAGGCTGTGCTGCTTCCAGCGCACATTCCGGCGAAATGTGGTCCCATGCCATTCGCATTCCGTGTCGCGCTGCCTGCGCGCTTCGTTCCAGCACAAGCACGCGCTGGCAGGGGGGTGGCGGAAGCATCAACCAAGCCAGCAAGAAGCAGCATCACAGTTCGCGCTAAGCGTGCTTGTTGGCGCAAGTCTGTTACTCCCTCCAATTGGCATGGTGGGCCTCCCCCACTGGTTCCTGTAGCGCAGCGCCAGCGTGGAAACAGCTGCTTGCAGCTCTTGATTGGCTGACCTCTCCTCCGCAATCCCTAGCCTCCCTTCCTCCCCCCCCCCCCCCCCTTCTTCCCCTCACCTAATGGAATCCCGCGTGGAGACGAATAGCGGAAATAGTATTTGAGGCGATCCAAAGTCTATTCAGTTTCAAATTCGCTTCCCACACCCTAGAGTAAAGCAGCGCTTACACCAAGAATTATCCGGGGTCCCTATACGCGACTCTTCTGATCGGCGCTACGCCTTCGAGCTCAGAGCCTGCAGCTGCTTCCCTTCCAAGCGAATTTCGGCTTTAATACCTTATACTTTCTCTTTACTTTCTATATTCACCATGATCGCATACGCCTGGAGCCTGGCCACCGCCACCGTCGGAATTCTCGGTGGAGTCTCGACAGTCGTGTTCGGCGGGAGCTACATGGCGCACACCAAGATCGTGCAAGCGGTGAGCCAACCTCAACCTCTCCTGCCGCTTTTTGTCGACCGATGTTTGTGTCGCGACGTCTGTCGCAGTGATCGTCCTTTTAGTCAACAGCAGGAGGGCGAGAGGCGTCCTAATGTGGCTATTACTAATTTCGGTTACAATTCTGCGATTGACTGACTTATCGAATCCCCGGTGTGGTTTTTCCTTCCGCGTGTCATCTTCTTGCAGAAACAACTCGCAAAGAGAAGAATGAGTGAAGCCGCTGCGCCTCCTAAGGCGGAAGCGAGCTGAAGGCACTCGAGTTGTGACAATAGACTGAGATCATCGCCGCCGTTGATATGTGATCATCGCGGCCAGACGAGGGTCTTTTTCTAGTGTACATTATTGTGCGCAGTGGAAAGCTCATTGGTAGAAGCGATTTAGGTCTGTTAACTGGTAATTTATCTTCAGTAAATTGACGCTTAGTGTGTTTGCAAGGACATGAGTATCCTTTCGGACAGTGTATCGCAGCCACTCTGGATATGTGCTTCCAGGCCGACATTTTGTCCCCCACGCGTCATATGTAAGACGTGGATCAACTCAATTTACCTCATAGAACTTCGTCTGCAACCCGGTTGAGCTCCCTTCTTGGGGCTCGTCTCGATAATGGGCACACGCGGGGATTATCCCACTGTCAGGCAGGAGGTCAGTGACGGAGGGTCTAAGATCAATCGGAGGGTCTAGTGGGCCTGTCGCTGCCATTTCGCGTACTAGCGTGGCCAGCCTCATAATACGATAGGAGGTGTTAGGGAGTAAAAACATAATTTCAAAATTTGATCCCAACAGGGTCTACTTTTATAGAGGTACGAGCCTTTATTTAGAGCTGAATTTTTCTTCTATACCCTCAGAAGCTGTGAATTGTACCGTGCCATTACTACCCCCTCAACACCTCCGTCAAACAAGTCCTCATGTGCCATTTGTGACATTTTCAACTTAATGCGTTATGTAGTTCTTAACGGTAGTAGTATGAGTGGGTTTCGACGAGTAGTGGAGATTTTGTATCGAGTGCTTCTGTGTTTTGGTCAAGCCTTGAAAGTTTGGTTCTCCTTGAACTCCAGCTTCCGCACTGTAGCTGTTGGGGCAGGTCGACAACAAGCTGAACGAACAACAGACGTGGAATGTTGTTGCCTAGGCTGCTAGAGGACGTGTACTTCAAATCTGGATGCGTAGAAATCAGGGTAGTACACCAAAATCACCCTGTTTTCCTTGAGTAAGCAGGGTAAATACCCAGCTATCGAGAGGCCTGAACAACAGACCTCAAGCCCGCGCCGCCCTGCCCCCACAACCTCATCGCGACGCGTCCCGCCGCCATTCCAAATCAGTCATGCCTGCACTTCCTTCGCTTCCTTCTGCTCGCTGGGGATTGGCTCATGAGAGGGATGTTGCAAAACGAAAGGCACTCCAAATCGGATCCGAGCGGTTCTGTCATATATCCTAAACTTTCAGGGCACAAAAGTTCTTTGGACATGAATGGTTTTGGGCACAGTTACCTTCCCAAAAAAAAAACTGGACTTCAGCGTATCACTCTCTTCCTTAGGATGCCTTCGCGCGAACATTCCACCCCAACTATCCTTCTATGCCCTTCTAGGCCGTCGGCTACATTGAGAATGTAAGCCCGAAACCACATCAGACAGTAACTAAGCTGTAGGCGAAAAGCACTTGGATTAATAAGGGTGCCCTAAAACGAGAGGGGTGGTCAGGTCGATTCAAGTATACCTCTTCCCCTGCCCTTTCGTCCCCACCCCATACATAAGCGCACGCCATCCCCCAGTCTCCTTCACATTCACTCCTCGATTGTTGCATTCGCCCAAGCAGCCAGTTCGTCGCTCCTACGCAACTATGGCTCCAGCTCGCGAGCTCATGCTGATGGCTGTCGTCGCATTCCTCCTCGCGAACGTCGCGACGGCTTTCACGACGGCGACGTGCATCAAGGAGGCGGAGCAGCTCGTCAAGGTGCTCGACGCCAAGCCCGCCACGCCTTACAGCTTCATCTCGCGCGAGCTCAAGAAGCTCATCAAGGCCGTCAGTAAGTACCATCGCCCGAAATCTTCGCCACATTTCGCCAATTGACAAAATAACGGCTGCCAGCCACTGCTGGACTGTCAGAAATTCTAGCCGTATGAGAACAGCAAAGCCAATTAGCGCTCGTCATTTTGCCGACTTCCGTCTCTTTTTCCTTTCGACAAGCTCCTCACTCTTTTCTTTATTTCTCCCGAAATGCAGAGGCGGGATACGACGTCGGCGAATTCTACGACAGCACGCTGCTGATCCCGACCAATCACGCACTCGCCGTCGCGAAGATCAACCCATCCAAGATCCGATACAAGGAGGATTTCTACCGAACCCACATTCTGGACGGCCAAGTCGACGACATTACATCCACCGCGGGAGAGAAGCAGCTGACCTCGAATCCCGGCGTGAGCGTGCGGATATTCAAGGCTCCGACGTTTCCCCTGGGCGTGGTGCTGCGCGTGGCGGGGACTAAGAACCGGCCGTCCGCGGTGCTGGAGCATCTGCACACAGGCACGGAGAACTGTTTCGAGGCGTACGGCATCAACCGCGTGCTCGTCAAGTGATGATGCATACTGGCGGGTGAAGAGCGCGCTTCTGGAAACTCCTGCAGTGGCGCGTCTTGAAGAAGAAATATGTGATCCACCCTACTGCTAGTAGTAATAGGAGTGAAGCGGCACCTTTTTTCCAACGCCTCTTCGATGACATTTCTTTCCCAATCGTGATGATGCCACAGAGAACGCCTCGTTCGCTCTCCCTCGCTCACTACACGCCTGCCGTTTGATAATTGCTGCATGTTTGAATGGCATGCGGAAGAAATTGTAACTGTACTGCCAGAACAATGCACATGTGCATGCAGGCAAATGCAGGAAATGCCAGAAGTGATTGAATGAACTTCAAGAGCACTCCATGCATACAGTAGAGCATTGTGCTCCTACATATCTACAGAAACCTAGTATGCTTCACGTATGCAAGCTGCCCATCTGCATCGTAAGCTATCACCACCTGCTGCACCTTCCAGTCATCTTCCGCCATGTAGCCTGTATCCGCGAGCCCCTCTCCCAGCTCCATCTTACCTTCACCCACTTCCAAACCTGATCGCTCCTCACTCCCCTCACAACCACCGCACTCCACCGCTCGCCCTCCCCCCCGCACATATGTCACGACCAGCCAAAACTCCTCCCCCCTCCCCCCCTCATGGCTGAGCACTCGCTCAAAGGGGGAAGGCAGAGCCACCACCACGCCTCTTGGGAGGGCCCACGCTGCATAGCTGCTGTGCTGGGCCTTAGGTACCCCTGCTAAGTACCCTGAGAACACCTCCTTGTTCTGAGTTTCCAGCCTCTTGTTGGGGTGTTCGGGAAGAGGGGTGCTGTAGAGGTCGGCGTGGATGTAGTGAGGCACTCCATAGAGGGGCTTGGGAGGGAGCGGAGGGAGGGAGGCAGGCAGGTGAGTTGGAAGAGGGGTCTTCCAGTGAGGGCTGATCCAATTGTCAGGCAGAAACTGGTCCGAGGTGCTGCTGCTGCCACCACCAGGTGCTGTGTTCCCACCACCATCCACAAATGAGTGAGATGCACGAGGGCTGGCTGCTGCTGGGAGAGTGTCATCCTGCCTGAGGGACGCAGAAGTCTCAGAGAAGGCCACGTTCAGCTGGGCACCAGGGCCTGAGGGGGAGCGGGTGCGATGCAGAAGAGGGAAGATATTGGCAACGGAGGGAATGTAGCAGGGCAGAGACGCGGACATGCAAGATTCATGTCCCAGTTGCAAGCCATGACCCACCATCCGCAAAGCACACGTTGGCTGTCAGCAGGACTGCACGTGGCGCAGACCCACTCGTCACGTTGCCACGCCCACTTCCCCCTACCTTCTCCCCCTCACTTCCGCCCTCCCCCCCCTTCCCCCTACCTGCAGCTGCGCCATCACCACAGCGCCCCCCCCAGTCTCCCCTTCCTCCTCCCCCTCTCCCCCTCCCCCCGTGCATAGCACGCGTGCGCCGTGGCTGTAGATGCCGTAGGGCAGCACGATACCGTTTGGGTGGCTGTCACGCGCGCAGGAGAAGGGCCACGCGCCCTCCGCTACCTTGGCTGGGAATTCCCCATGGCGCTTGAACTGCTCGTGCTGTGACAAAGACGTGGGAAGGAAGGGGGGGGAGGGGGGAAGGGAAAGCAACAGAGAGATGAGAACGGGGAGGGGAGAGGGGGTGGGGGGGGTCGGGGGGAAGAGAGAGACAAAGAGATAGGGGAGGGAAGGAGGGTGAACGACATGCACAAGTCATGATGGAAGTCAGTGGCCAGTAGGGCAGCGCGATGCCATCTGGGTCGGTGGCATGCGCGCAGGAGAAGGGCCACGCGCCCTCCGCTACCTTGGCAGGGACGCCACCCTTCCGGTTGAACTGCTCGTGCTGTGAGTGGGGTTGTGGGAGGGGGGACGGGGATCTGCCGAGAGAGAGAGATTCAGGAAGAGAGGGTGACCGCACGCGTGTGCCACGGCTGCACATAGGTGAGGGGCCACAAGCCCTGCACTACCCGCTCTGGGAAGTCGACCTAATTGCCACCTCTGCTACCCTCTCTGCCCCCTCCCCCTATAACCCCCGTCCCCGTCCCCTTCGCCCCCCCTCCCTCCCCCTCTCCCCCTCCCTCCTTCCCCAGTGACGCCAAGAATGGGGGGAAGATTTTCCTCACCCGCAGCACGTATTCCTCGCTGCCGCCCTCCCCCTCCGCGTGCACCGGAGTAATTTCGCGCAGCAACTCCAGCGACAGCTTCGCCGCTCGCCCCTGCGCTGGTAACCAGAATCGCCACTGCCCATACCGCGTCACCAGCTGCGGCTTGTAGCGCCGCCAGTGATCCTCCGGGGTCAGCACGCGCCCGCCGGCCCGGTTATGCCCGCTATTACCGCTCTCGTTACGGTATACCGCGGTACTGGCCTTATCAGAACCTTCTGGCTGCACGATTAGGGATGAGGCGTCTTTCAGATTATCCGGAGTCGCGTTCGCGTTATTGTCCGATTCCGGGACACGTATAGCGGCGTTGGCAATACGCATCGGCATGCTCAGATCTCGCCGTGCGTCGCGCCGAGGGAGACGGATCACCGAAACCCCCGTCTGAACTGCCGCTGACGAGATGTCTATTCCGCGATGCGCGGATGGAACGGCTGCCGGATTGAATCCGCGTGGGAAACGGTCGCCAGCCCGATAGCGCGGGGAAGGTTTGGGGGACAGCGGAAGACGGCTGGGCAAGATCTCGTATGCGGAAGAGCGGGCGAGGTGCATGATCATGATGCGGAGGACGCGATGCTCTGAGCGCTCAGGGTGCTGATGAGAATCCGCAGAAACACCCTAACAGATAAAGGCCCTCCTCGTTAAAGGGAGAGGAGACTAACAGCAGACGCTGGCTCGGTTCCATCATGGAATCCACGGAGCGAATCGGACTCGCGGTACTCGACGACGGCATGCGACGATCTGCGACGACACCCTGCATTCCTGGCAAGGCGCACGTCGGCGCGTACTCGGCTGAAAGAGGTCGTGCGGCGCGAGGGAGATGGTCGATGATGGGATGCGCCATGCTTGAAAATTGTTAATTCTACCTTGAAGAATACGAGGAGGTTGACAGATTCTAGCTTGACGGATATCTGCGGCTTCTCCAAGGCTGGTGGGGTCGAAGGGAAGACGATTACGAGTATACGCGCTAAGATTTTGCTGCTAAGAAACCGATGTACGCAGTTTGTACAGCTCAAGAGGCTTGCGTAGATTTGTCCCTGCACAATACAGCTTGTGAGAAAATGAATATAGCGAAGTGATTGTTCAATTGCGGGTGCTGATGGATTCTTCACGCGTCAAGGGGTTTTGGCTGGTTTGTGAGAAGTTCTTGCGCCGAATGGTGCTTTTTGAGGCGGCTCGTCTTTTCGGCGAATAGAAGTTGAGCAAGTTTCAGCTCGTTAGACGCACTTCATGTGATGGCCGGTGCGATGCGGGAAAATCGCTGAGCCACAAATCAGCATCCACAACACAATCCAGGTCCCAGCCCTTGGGGACTGTTCTCCTGTTCGTCCTGGGCAGCCTGACCAAGCTCAGAGAACGTCGGCACTTAACGGAATTTGCGCTTCCCAGTCCAACCTCAAGCGAAATGTTCGCGTGTGGGCAGCGATGACGTCGATATGACGCGGAACGGGCTGCTGTTGACGGTTTGGGACAAGTGGGGTTAACCCCAAGCCATACCGTCAGGCCTGGCAGCTCTGGCTATGGGTGACAGACCTGCCAAATGCAGGCAGGCCGAACCACAGTCGCCAGTCAAACCAAACCAAACAAACCCGTCGAGCCTGAGATTCCCACAAAGGCATGCCCAGCCGGACCTGAGTGATCGACACATACCTCATCACCAGCAAGCACCGCACCTAACCATCAGTTTCAAGCAGTCAGCCATGGCTGCCCGGTGAGGATCACCCTTGTCCTAGAGCCATGCCATATATAAGTCAAGAGGCGATGTCTGAAGGGGAGGTGATGAAAGCATTTTCCTGAAATAGTCATTTCACATGACCCATAGTTGACGATAGGGCAGCGCGTCGTAGCACTGGCGAAGCCATCCTCGTAGGCAGCTGTAGTGTTCTGTCGAGCTTCGTCTAGTTCGTCGTCTCTTAGGAATTGGTTGTTTCTAGTCCGGTTGGTAGACCATCGGTCGATCGTACGCGATGGCGTGTGTGCGGGAGCAGGCAATACCTGTGACACCTGCTGCCTCGGGAGAGCCGAGCGATGTTGAAGCCTCCCCGCCTCGGCTATCCACGGACTTCCGCGTCAAGGAAGCTCGCCAGCGCCGCCAGGTGGGTCACCCGCACCTCCCCACCGTGCCCAGCTTGTTCTTGGGGTCATCCCGCCCGTACTCTACCCTTTCGAGTCCTACATGATTTCAACGCCTTGCGCGCCGAGAGCATTCTTTTCTCCCTGCGATCGTTTCGCATGGCCCGGAGAGCCTGGTATCGACATAGCTGTTTTCTGCGTGTCCTTTTTCGCTTGACGGCTGCAGGAGTTCCACCAGTGGCTGTCCAGCAAGGCACGCGCTTCTCAGCACGCCAGCAGCCGACGCGCCACCAGCAACGATAGTCCGAGCAGCGACAGCCCCAGCAGCGTCAGCAGCAGGAGCAGCAGAACGAGCCGGAGCAGCACCAGCAGCAGCAGCAGCAGCGGTTCTGGCAGTTCTGGCCTGTCTGCAGTTACCAGTGAGGCGGATGCCGATCCTGACGCGGTTAACGGTAACGGTAACGTTAACGGTGACGACAACCAAGTGACTGACGATGAGGACGTAGCGACGGAGCAGCAGCAGGAGGAGATGGCTCGCCGCCTGGAGCAGCGCCTCATGTCGGCCGAGAAGAAACGGTCAGTCGCTCTTTTGATGCCATTGCAAGCCGTCACTTATCAATTCCGTTTTGTGTTCGTTTGTGTTCGTTTGTGTTCGTTTCCCCTCTGTCCCCGGTTCAATTGTCAGTCCCTGCAGTCATAAATACATTCACAGCGAACATCAGAACAGAAATTCCGCAAGCCACACCATTAGAAAACTCCTTTTCTCGAGCAAGTACCTGTGCAAATCCGTTCTGTCAACATGTTTCACGCCGGAAAACGATGAGGTCGATCCTAACCTAACCGCCCGTTTCAATTCCCCACCGCATCTCACCGGCCGTCACCTCTTCCTGTGCCCCTCGCAGTCTGGAGCGCGAGACGCGCAAGAAGGAGCAGCAGGTCAGGTCCGCGCAGTTGCGCCGCCAGGCGCGCGCGGCGGCGCAGCAGCGGCTGGAGGCGTGGGTGGCGGGCGTGGAGCAGCAGCGCGAGGTGCGCGCGGAGAAGGCGCAGAGCAACCGCGCGGCGATCCTCACGGCGGAGCAGCAGAAGCGCGCGCAGCACTTCGAGCGCGTCTCCACGCGGACCGCGCAGCGCGCCAAACAGGCGCAGTGAGTCTGGCATCTTCAGACGATACTGTCGTCTTCAGAAACTATCGATTCTTTCGTTCCGCTTTGCGATGAAGAGAAGACTTGTAATGCTTACGTTTTCTTCCTTCTCATCGACTGCTCCCTTCGGTTCCAAGTCTGCCGTTCCCTGTCTTCCATGTCTCTCCCTCCCCACCTGCAGGCTGGAGCAGGAGCGCGCAAGCCAGCTCCTCCAGGCGCTCTCCGACCGCATCGCCGCCGCGTCCTCCAAGCGGGATGCGCGCCTCTTGGCGGAGCGCCAGCGCGCAGCCGCGCAGTGGGAGCAGGCGCGCCAGGTGGCGGCGGCGGTGGTGGCGCAGCGGGAGAGGGATCACCGCGAGCGGCGGGAGCGGCTGGAGCGCAAGGTGGCGAAGGCGCGGGGGAGGCGCGCGGAGATGCTGTTGCGGCGGAAGGGCGGGCGGCGGAGCGTGGTGTACAACCAGACTCTGTGCCGCCGCGTGCAGTGGCAGCTGCTCTCGCGCCGCCTGCTGCGGTGAGATGTTCAGATACGCCCTGCACTGTAATTCTCTTCTCAACAGGGCGCTCATTCTGCCGCTCATACTATGAGTAATGCTCCACACCCCAAGCAGCCTCATCGTGTCAAGATATCTTCCAGCGACCGCTTCTCACCTGTCCTCCATTCTGATCCTCACACGCGTCCTCTTTCACCATCACCTTCCCCCCCAACCCCCTCCCAGCTGCTGGCGCCAGTTCAAGGGCACCAACAAGACCACGCTCGAGCTCGCGCGCGCCTTCTGCGCCTGCCAAGTCAGCCGCGCGCGCCTCGTCCGCCTGCCCTTTCCCCGCGTGGCCGCGCGTATTCAGTCCCCCGCCTCGCTCTCCGCCACCGAGGCCCTCCTGCAGCGCCTGCACGCGCGCCTGCTCGTCTCCTCCGCCGTCGCTTCCGCCTCCGCCTCTGCCGCAGCTTCCCCCACAGCCTCCCCGGCTAGCAGCCCGTCGTCCTCCCCCTCGCCCTCCCCCCAGAAGCAGCCGAGCGGGCGAGGCAATGCCGTGGGCGCAGCAGGTGTGAGGGACATCGACGACCTTCTGATCAGAGTGGCACCTCCCCCGGGTAAACCCAAGGCGGCGGCAGCAGGGGCGAGCAGTGCAGCTGCCGCTATTGCTGGCGGGAGTGGCACTAGCAGCGGTACAGTGGCGGGCAGCGAGGGGTGTCCGCGGCGGTTCCGGTACCCGACGCGCGTGTTTCTGTGCGCGTACATGATTGTGCTGCACCCCGAGGCCGTGCTCTCGTGCCTCACGGGGGAGAGGGAGAGCGCCCTGACGCAGGCCGCTGCCGCCCTCGTCAACGCCTTCGAGGGCCTCGTGCGCTTCCTGCTGCGTCGAACCACCACTGCTGCTGCTTCCTCTGCTGCTGCTGCTCCCTCCGCTGCTCCTGCTGCGGCTGCCTCTCCTGCGGTTTCGTCTGCGAGTCCATCCGCCGCCGCTCCTGCCGTGGCGTCCGCGCCTGCCACTGCCAGTGCGGCGGGAGAGGCGGCAGCAGCGAAGCCGTTCTCGCAGCACCTGGCGGAGTTTGACGCCGCGTGGGTGACGTACCTCGAGCGATTCGCCAACTGGAAGGTGCGGTCGTTGGAAGGCAGTCTTGCATAGATGTTGCACGGCTTGTGATGTGCTCTTCCACCCTTGCTCTTGCATTTCGTACTCACCTTGGATCACCTTGGTACCCTTGCACCATGCCCGCTTCCCATGCCCCCCACTGCCCGCTTCCCATGCCCTCGTTGGTTGACCAGGCGAGCGACAAGGAGCGCATGGAAGCTGACATGATCAACATGGCGTGCCAGATGCACGCCAGCATGCTGCGGCGCACGGGGCACCTGGCGGACGCGCACATGTCGGAGGACCTCAGGGCCATCCGGGAACAGGTGAGCGCAGCGACATGGGTGACACGTGAGGCGGGTGAGGGGGGGAGGTGGCGCTCTTTCTCAGTCGCACGGGGCGCCTGGTGGTCTCGCACATGCCGGGCGACCTCATGGCCATCAGTGCGCAGGTGAGAGAAGGGTGAGAGCTAAGGAGAAAATATAGCGAACAGACGGCAGGAGTATTCTGGCAGGTGCAAAAGCAATGCTACCAAGAGAGGTGAAACATTTCAAGCAATATTCTGTCCTCTCGTGCGCTTTGCTGTGACTCAACACTTGCCTGAGTCACACAACCTGCCGCCGTCTCTTTCCTCTCACTCCACTCATCCTCCGACTGCCCTGCCCTCGCCAAACCCCCCATCTCTGTGCGGCAGGTGGCGCAGGACATCCCCATGCTGCGCAGCAAGGTCAGGGGGCTGGCCGGGGCAGCAGGCGTGGCTCGCATGGACGACGCCCTCGCCCGCACTGAGCGAGACTTCCACGCCGGCACCCTCCTGGGCTCCCCTTCCCCCTCCCCCTCCCCGTCTCCCTCCCCTTCCCCCTCCCCGTCCCCCTCCCGCCCTTTGTCCGCCACTCCCTCCCCCGCCTGCTCGCCCTTCACCCTCTCACGCGCCTCGCCTGGCATGTCGTCTCCCACCAGCTTCTCGCTTTCCTCCTCCCCCACCAACCCAAGCCCTCTCTCTGCGTCTTCTGCGACTGCTGCCGCTACCACAGCCCCCCCTGCACCAGCTGACTCCGCCTCTGCCCCTGCTGCCTCTGCTGCTCCCAAGGCCCGCCGCTCCCTCTTCAAGTTCGCCTTCCCGCCTGCCAAGCCAGCGCCTGCCGGCGGCTCGGACGAGACATCCAAGGCTGCCAGGGAGGTTCGGGGTGCGTTGCATGGTGCAGCCTCGGGTCCGGGTGGTGTCAGTCTCAGGCGGCCTGGTGCTTTCTTGGTGCCTCTGGACGCTCGATCCTCAGCCTCTTCCCTCTCCACTGCCCCCGCGCCTGCTGCTGCTGCTGCTGCTGCTGCTGCTGCTGCTGCTGCTGCTGCTGCTGCTGCTGCTGCTGCTGCTGCTGCTGCTGCTGCTGCTGCTGCTGCTGCTGCTGCTGCTGCTGCTGCTGCTGCTGCTGCCCCGGGTGCCAGCCCCTCTCTGGTGGCCCTTTCCATGGCCGCTCCTCCTCCACCCCCCGACCTGCTGCAGCTGCAGCTCAGCCTGTACAGGAGCACCAGGTTGCAGCCCAGCGCTGCTGCGGGTGCTGCTGCTGGTTCCGCAGAAGGTGCTGGGGACCTGGAGACAAGGCTTAAGGTACGTTGCTGGACTCTGGTGATGGTGCCCTGCAGAATGCCGTGTGCCATTTCTGAAATGGAGGACACTCTGATGCTCCACGCTCGCTGCCCTGCTCTCCCCTCCTCTCCCCACGAGGGTTCACATCCCTCTACTCCGCCCCGTCCCTCTGTCCCCCATTCAGGCCGCCATGCACCGTGCCTTCTGGGACTCCACCCTCGCCTCCCTCCTCGCCTCGCCGCCCGACACTGCTGCGGCGGCCCGCCTGGTGGCTGAGCTGCGGGGCGAGCTGGTGCGCATTGCGCCACGGCAGTGGGAGGCCGAGGTGACGAGCAACCTGGCTCTGGACGAGGCCGATCTCCTCAAGGTATGCACAGCACACAAGGTAGGAGCCTCGCGGCAAGGTGGACCTTCGCAAGGCAAGCAAGCAGCGCATGGCCCAGTGGGCGCGGGCTGCTGGTTGATTCGTGGTGAAGAATGGGGATGTCTTGCAGTTTCCCGCTTGTGGGTTTTGGCAGATGCTGGCGGTGGGAACACTTGATTCCGTCCACAGCCTGCACTCCCTGCTAGTCCTGCTGGCCTGCTCCACGGGCCTTGCTGTGCGCCTGGTGTGCTCTTTTGAGGGGCAGTCCCACTCTCCACCCATCTCTGTGCTTTCCATTCACCCCGCCTCGCACTGTCTCAGATGCTCACACTTGGAACGCCCGACTCGTTCCACAGCCTGCAGGCGCTGCTGGCCCAGGCCACGGACTTGACTCGGCGTGTGCTCTCCCGCCCTCCCCCCCTCTGCCTCCCCTCACCCCTTCCTCTCCAGATGCTCACACCCGGCATGCCCGACTCGTTCCACAGCCTGCAGGCGCTGCTGGCCTACGCCACGGACCTCACGCTGCGCCTGGGGGCGCCATTCAGGGACGACGCCACACGTGCCGCCCTGGCGCGGCTCAACCACGAGCTGGGAGCGCTGGTGGCGACAGGTGGCGTGCAGGCATTGGCTGAAGTGGTGGTGAAGGGGCTCAAGTTCGCCTTCGAACGGCTGGAGGTGGGTTCGTGGGGCTGACGGCTGAGACATAGTATCCTTCCAATTATACCGGGATGCTGTGATGCTGGTGATGCTTTGATGCTGCGTTTTGTGACAAGATGCAAATGGCTGGTTGCCTCTGAGCTGGCAGCCTCATATGCCCTTTTCGGTTGTCTTGTGGACCCTGCCATTCTCCTTTCCCTCACTTCCCTGCGCTCCCTGTGTCGCCGTATGGCCTCCCACCATGATGTGCTTCAGGAGCTCAAGGCGGACATAGCAGCGGCTCGAACGCGCCTCACGCCCCTCGCCACCACCGTCTCCAACCTGCAAGCTGCCCTGGCCAAACGTCTCGACCTGCCCGTGTACCCCACTCCTGTGGCCCTCTCCTCGTCTGCTTCCTCTCCCACACTAAGCCTCTCCATCATCAAGGAGAAGCTTCCACGCACTTTCTCCTGGGTCGCAAACTCTCTCAACCAATCCATCCCCTCTGCACGAGCCGAGCTCCAACCATACCTCGCCACGTCATCGTCTGCTTCCTCCAGCTCAGCAGCATCTTCAGCAGCTGCCACCCTTCCCTCTGCGTCCGCCCTCCGCACCGGCCAGCGCACCTTGTCTTCTTCTGGGGCAAGCAACACCAGTAGTGCAACTGGGTGTATTGAGTGGGTGGCAGCAGCGTGTGTGGTGCGCGTGGGGCTGGTGGATGTGGTGACGTCAGCGGAGGGGGCGGAGGCAGGGGCAGTGGCGGAGGCGCTGTGGCTGGACGTGGGGAAGCTGAGGCAGGCGCAGAACGAGTTCCAATGTGTGATCGTGGTGGCCACTGGGTGAGTTGGGAGGGGTAAAAAGGGAGCAATTGTGTGCATGCGTGCGTGCATGTGTGCGTGCGTGTGTCGTTCGTCCCTGTTGACTGATACATTCTCCCTTGTTTCTCTCTTGCAGTCTCTTGCTGCTGCGTCAGCTGCTGGCATCGCGAGCCATCCTGCCATCGCCAGCAGTGGAGGCCGTGGTGGCTGCCACTCGCACCACTCTCGCCCGCCTTGTCTCCTCCCCCGATGCCTCCCGCGCCGCCCTTGCCTCGGCCCTGGCCGACGCTGTCATGGCTGCAGCCAACACCAAGACACCAAGTCATGCCTCCGCTGTCCCCGCCCCTACCGCTTCCACCCCAGACAAGGCAGCTCTTGAATCCCTGGCGTCCAGCCTGCTGCTGCGTTCCCTCAACCCGTCCGACGCCATCTTTCAGCGCGTCCGCGCCTCCGTTACCGCTGCCCTCCGTGCTCTCCTGCTGCTGCGCCCCGTCAGCCAATCGCAGGCCTTCCTTGCCGCCCAGGCTGCTCTCAGGAAGGCTGCTGCAGGGGACCTTCTTAGCGGGGATGAGGGGGAGGGGGGCCAGGGAGTGGGTGTGGGGGTGACGAAGGTGGTGGGCCTTGTGAACGAAATTGCTGACGTCATGCTGGCAGTGCACGAGCCGTTGGTGCGGGTGGCCATGGCAGATGGCAGTGCCACCTCTTGAGTCTTTGCTGAGCCATGGTTGAGGTGGTAGAGAGGGCTGCTGGATGGCTTAACAGGTGATGCTACCAACAGAGCAGTTTATTGCTGGGGCTGCTGGGTTGCTCTTGGCATCAAGGGATTGATTGATTGCTGCTTGAGCTGGCTACAAGATGGCTGTGGGAGGGTCTGAGGGCGGTAGCAGGTTCGGTCCAACGCAAGTTGACCAGCAAGAATGTGTGGTGAGGACGTTTGGGGCCATATCTTTCGTTCCATCAAGTGGTTGTACGTAGTGCCATGTAGTTGTATATTTTGGGCTGGTACCAAGTCTCAAGGAGACAGTGTTCGCTCTTAGAATCTAACGGTTGTGTAGGCTGTATTCGCTTGATTTCTGTCTTTTAATGTGGATGCTTTGTAAGTACAAATGCAACCAGCTAGTCAGCCTCAGAGAATGGAAGGAATATATTTTGCAAGGAATCCTTGACTATGGCCTGTGAAGATTCGTCCCATACCAGGGTTTCAGCTAGGATTTAGGGCTGTCTGAAAATCAGACGGGTTTCCAAAGTTTCGTCTGACCATCAGACGAACATTTTCAAGGAGTCTGAGATTTCAGACGAATTTTTCCCGTGAGTCTGAACATTCAGACGAAAAAATTGCCGCAAGAAACTTCGCCACTTGCAATTTAGACTTCAATTTTTCTGTTTCCTTATTTCCTGCGGAGAGCCTGTTCCTCCGAACTTCTTCTTCCCAGACTTGGACCCGCCTACGAGCACGTTCGAAGGTTCCTTGTCAAGCAGAAATTGTTTCAGTATCACTATTCTCAGCTGCTTCGAATCTGCTCGGGTAAAAATCGTACTGTACGGATGCGCGCCTGTCTCAAAAAGGCGCGCCTGAGAAGTTTGAAAACAGGGCCTGAACCTTGACAGTCACGACCCCGAATCAGACCACGCGGAACCGCATTGAACCGTTTTGCATAGAAATTTTAGCGCGAGCCTGGGGAGATTGACCAGGGCCTGCGTACTGTATCTGCCTACAGTTCCAGGGCCTCGCACGTAACGTGACGTGTCACGCACAAGCAAGCAACCCTCACTTTACGCACCGCCATCACAGGTATACGGGAGGGGGGGGGGGGGGATGGGGTGGGAGGGTCTTTAGCCAAAATTTCATGGTCTAGCTGTGAGGGACTTCATCGGAAAAACATGGCTTGAGGGGTGTGTGGCAAAATGTATCTCGCAATAGGGGTCTTAGCTGAATTTTAGGGGTTGTGAGTGTTAACGTAGAAACGAATGATTACTAGAGGTGGAAACCTAGAACAAATACTAGTTGGTTGTACTCACTAGAAGCATACCTCAGTCTAGCCTATAACTTCTACATAGATAATATGTATAAGTTGACACACCCCCTAGGCTAGACAAGGGGTGAAACTAAACAAGAAGCAAACAGCTCAGGGCGGCACTACTAGTCCAACCACTGAGGCAGGGGTCTGGAGACCAGTCAGCAAGAATACAACCAAAACTGAAGCAAGCCAGGGTGGCACTACTAGTCCAGCCACTGGAGGTAAGGCCACAAGGCCAGTCTGACAAGCATATATAATAGAGAGTACACAATCAGGATCCTAACAGGGGAGCAGCTATAGGAACAAGACCAAGCTGTACACAGTGCCGCTGATGATCTTTAGGCGCAAGCGCCTTAGTAAAGATATCAGCCGTGTTGGCACCTGAGGCCAAGTGAACTACGCGGGCCTGGCGGCGCTGCTGTAGCTCGCGCAGGAGGAAGTACCGCAGCTGGATATGCTTCGCTCTGCCCTCAAGCCGAGGCTCCTGACACAGGAGTATCATGGCCCTGTTGTCAGCGTACAGGACCGGGGCAGAGCTAGGCCGCTCACCTAAGTCTGTGAGCAAGAAGGTCAGCCAGCGGAGCTCCTGTGCCGCCATGGCACCAGCGTAGATCTCAGCCTCACAGCTAGACTGAGCCACAGACGACGAGCGAGTGGATCTCCAAGAGATAGCACCCGAACCAAGGCTGAAACAGTAGCCCTGCGACGACCTGAGCGTCTCAGCGTCGTCTGCCCAAGAAGCGTCTGTGTGCCCAGTAAGGACCACTGGCCTGCGTCCTCCTAGCACTAACCCCATGCCTGATGTACTAGCAAGATAACGCAAAACCCTCTTAGCGGCAGACCAGTGCTGAGGTCGGTGTCTGCCTGTAGCCACAAAGCGAGCCAGGATGCTGAGAGGGTATGCGAGATCTGGGCGAGTGCAAGTCATCAGGTACATGAGGCAACCCACCAGCTCTGCGTAGGGGCCACTGGGCTCTACTGGCTCCTCAGGAACGGGAGCAGAGAGCCCATGGTCTACGGGTAGAGGTGTGGGCTGTGCGGAGGAGAACTGAAGACCGAACCTCTGAAGGACCTGACGCACCAAGTGTGACTGGGTCAGAGTGATGGTGCGTGCTGCTCTGTCCCTAGAGATCTGCAGGCCAAGATAGCGACGCAGCTCTCCAAGGTCAGTGCAGGTGTGTCTCTTCAGCAGCTCAGCCTTCACAGAGGCCAGTGCGTCCCTGTCAGGAGTAGCGAAGACCAGGTCGTCTACGTAGACAAGGATGTAGAACGGAGTCTGGCCGGAACGCACAAACAGTGAAGGGTCAGCAGAGGACGGAAAGAACTGCAGGTCTGCTAACGTGGCACGTAGCGTGTCGTGCCACTCGCGGGGAGCCTGACGCAGGCCGTAGACCGGGCGCCTGAGAAGCCACTGGGTCCCAGGAGGGAAGGTACCAGTGAAGCCCTGTGGTCGGCGCAGGTAGACCTGCTCGTGTAGGCTGCCCTGAAGAAAGGCAGTAGAGAAGTCGAGGGAGTGAAGCTCGTAGTCACGCTGTGCTGCTACGTGTAGCAGCGCCCGAAGAGTGGTCATCTTCGGGGTCGGGGCGAAGGTCTGGAAGAAGTCAACCCCCTCGCGCTGACTGAAACCTCTGGCCACGTAGCGCGCCTTGAAGACAGGCGGCTCTCCAGGGGGGCGCTTCACCTTGAAGAGCCACCGACCATCGACTACGTTCACCCCAGGCGGGGGAACTGCGTCGACGTAAGTGCCGGTGGATCTCCAAGATGCCATCTCCTGCTCCATGGCAGCTATCCACTGAGAGGCCCAAGGTCCCGAGGTGGCCTCAGCGTAGGTGCGAGGGGTCGGGATGTCGAAGGCGTCTGGGTCACCCTCAGGGACTAACAGCATGGAGCAGAGATGGGGAGCAGCCTCGGAAAGGAAAGCCAGCTCGTACTGCCTGTCCTCTAGGACGTCACTGCCAAGGGCAGGAGCACCCCCGACGGACAGAGGACGGGCAGGGTCAGAGACCAGAGCGGTAGCGTAGTCAAGGCGGCGGGTAGAAGCGAAGTCAGCGACAGCAGCGACAAGCGCGTCAAGGCGCGAGACAGGAACAGCAGGGTCGGTAACAAGAGAGGCAAGGACCCGAGGGACAAGGGGACGAGCAGCACGGAGGTAGTCAGAGAACGGAGGAGGTGCAACAGCAAGGGACGAGGGAGGAGGGGACGGGAGGAGGGGAGGACGAGACGAGTGGGAACGGAGCAACATAGGGTGGGTGGGCAGGACAGGAGAGACGGGACGAGCACGGGAGGGACGGCGAGCCCAAACGTGAGACGGAGGGGTAGGGTCAGGGGACAGCGGAGGAGACACAGGAGGGGAACGAGGAGGAAGACGGGCCGGAGACGAGTCTGGCGGCGGGAACACAGGACCGTAGACAGGGAGGTCAGGAGGCGGTGGGGGAGACACCGGCGCGCGGTCCGGGGAGGGAAGGCCGAGCAGGCGGAGAGCGGAAACCGGCGGCGACGGCTGCTGCGGCGGCGACGACGGCTGGGCCGGAACTCTCGGACCAGCAGAGGTAGAACGACCGTCGGCAGAACACTCAACAGCAGCACCCCCAGAACCAACACCCCCAGAGCGAGAACCCCCTCCAATACCAGCGGCACCCCCAGAAGCCGCAGGACGAACACCCTCCTCCACACCAGCACCCCCAGGGGCCGAGAGCAGCGGCGGCAGTGGCGGCAACGGCTGCGGCGGCGGCGACAGCGGCGACGGCTGCGGCAGCGACAGCGGCGGCGGCGGCGACGAAAGCGGCGACGGCTGCGGCGGCGACGGCGACGGCGGCGGCAGCGGGGTCGGCGACTGCGACAGTGGGGGCGGAGGCACCGGGGAAGGGGGACGCGGCAAGGACGGACCGGGGGTACCACCAGAGTCAGCAGACTCCTCAACGGGGACAACCGACAGGAGGGGAGTGACGTGGGAGACACCAGACGGGGCAGGACGAGGCGGGAGAGGGGCAGGGGCTACCGGGGGAGAGGGAGCAAGGAAAAGGGGGGGGGCAACTGGGAGACCTCGGTGAGGGAAGCGGCGGTAGAAGGAGACGGACTCATCAAAGGTGACGTCACGAGAGTGGAGGAAGCGGTGAGACGGCGGGTGGTAGAAAAGCCAGTCAGACGAGTCCAGGGGGAAACCGAGGAAGACACAGGGGACAGTGCGGGCAGTGAGCTTGTCCGTGCCAGAGGCACGAACGTGAGCAAGGCAGCCCCAGACGTGGAACGCAGACGCGTCACCGGGGGACCCGGTCCAAAGGAGGGTCGGCGAAACCTGCGGCCGCTGGGAGCGTGGCCACAGGTTAAGCTGGTGAGCCGCGTAGCGAACAGCGAACGGCCACAGAAAATGGGGGGCATCGGCATGGATCATGGAGGTACGGGCGACCTCCATGACCAAGCCGATGCGGCGCTCAGCAACCCCATTCTGCTGTGGCGAGTCCGGCAACGTGTACGACTGGGTGATGCCCTCCGCACGACAGAACTGTCCAAGCCGACCAGAGGCGAACTCGCCGCCACGGTCGGAGTGGAGACACAACACGGGGAGACCGCGGTGGAGACGCGCAGCCACAACCCACGGGAGAAGAACGTCGGGCACGTCGGCCTTCCGCTCCAGGGGAAACACCGTGGTGTAGCGCGTGTAGTCGTCGACAAGCACAAGGAAGTAGCGCTCACCGCGCGGTCCGGGGACGGGGGCAGGGCCCCAAACGTCCAAGTGCAGGGTCTGAAGGGGGGCAGTAGCAGGACGCAGCGAGGAGGAGTGAGGAGCACGGCGGAGCCGACCCTCGACGCAAGGCGTGCACGGTGGCGCAGTCGAGGGAGGAAGGGCAGGGAGCGACGCGGGGAGACCTAAGACAAGACCGTGCTGGGACATGTGACGCAGACGCGGGAGAGCAGGGTGACCTAAGCGGTGGTGCCAGAGAAGGGAGGGGTGAGTGAGGGACCGACACGAGCAAGCTGCAGCGACCTGGGAGGACGCACCAACCGGGGGGGAAGCGGTGTGTAGGGTAAACAGACCGGACACCGGGTCCCGGGGGAACGTCGCAAGGGGGGAACCTGAGACAGCCTCAGAAC